CCTGCTGTCCTCTGTTCCCTATATATCCTCGTTGTCCGCTGTCCGCTGTCCGCAGTCCGCAGTCCGCAGACCGACACCTCAGAACAGCAGCGACGGGCAGCGGTGGAGCGCCGACCGTCAGCGGCCGAGCGCCGACCGTCAGCGGCCGAGCGCCGACCGTCAGCGACCGCGGAGGCCGCGCCGGCCGCCTCTTCTCGGAAGTAAACTGCACTCGGCGGCTCGTAAAATCCACTAATCGGCGTATTGAAACGAACTCAATTATCCGGTGGCTGCCCCACGTCCCAGGGCCGCGCACTGACGGCGCAGACGTGAGCAGAGGACGGGAACAGAGGCAGAGGGAGGAGGGACCGACAAATGGGAGGAGGAAGTGGTCAGGTCAGGTACCGATGCTTGGGCAGCGCTGTAAAGACACTCATCACCTCTCGTCTCATTGCGTGGTGTTATCCTTGCGTTTATTATGGTTTGATTGTAACTCATTCATTCGTAGCATTCAGTTCATTCCTAAATCAAAATTCCACCTGCTTTTCCCTCCTGGGACAAAAAGAATCTACATCGCTGTAGGCCACTGAGCAGTGGAGGGGAGTGCGAATGATGCAGATACTAGCTCGATGCCAATGTGTAATTCTCCATTGCAATGAATTGTCTTCATTCTATATAACATATCGTTTGATGATCACGGAAATTGTGCCAATTTAGAACTTGTTAGAAAAGTCGCAGTGAGCGAGCGGCCAACGGGTTCATTGCGGTTCACCTGTGGCAACTGGAGGCGCATGGCTGTGCGTTTGGCAGCAAAATGATGATTCGAGCATAATTAATGCATAATCGTACGTGGCGTTTCAACCATTGCGTGTGGCCTTACATCTGCATATGCGTCTGCGTCTTGTCTAGTGCAATTCAAATTAGTTTCTCACGGGATAAAATGTATTTTCGGAAAGCACATTAGCCAGGAATGCAGGAAAGTAAGGCGTCCTCCACTCCGCAGGTCCTTGCTGCTATGCAAATGCCGCCGTATGAGCGGGTTGGGAGGGCCGGCAGCGGGCGGCGCTGGCCCCGGCTGGCCGGCCGCGCTGCGGTCAGGCCCGTTCTCGGTAGCCGCTCTCGTGTCAGCGGGCAGTTCATCAGCCGGCAGTATGCGCGCGCGGCCGCCGCCGGCGCCCCTGTTTGCCCGTCTGTCTGTCTCCGAGCTGCCGAGAGTGAGCAGCCCGGCGGCGAGCGCCGGCGCGCCCGGGGTCGTTCGACTGCTCGGGCTGTGTTCTGGAAACTGGCGCCGCGCACAGGGTGGGCTCAGCGGCAGCTAGCGCGCTGGCCCGGTGGCCGGGTTGTCTCATGAACGGGAAGCGTCTTTGTGTCACTCTATAAACGGGATTGATGCTCCGGTCGTATTACCGTGCCCATTGTGGAAGCTGGTGACGTGTGCACGATATAGTGTCACATGCTTTATAAGTGATCAAAATTTGTAGAAAAATATCGTAGCTAAGTAATCGTATCTAATATCGTACCTAAGAGTCCTGTTTTTACAAAAGTTTCGTCCATGTCTTAAACATAAATTAACCTCATTTCCCACCCATTAAAGTCGATATCATGCTACGTCACGGCGTGCCGTCACGATATGCTTATTACCCGGACGTTTCGAAATGTTACTCATCTGTGCCGTTTTTTATTGGAAATGGTAGATCTATGTTTAGATGTGTTACTTCTCTGGTTGATCTCAGCTGTTGCCTCACCCATTTTACGCGCCGGGCCGGGCGCTAATTAAGAACACACCGATGGGAGTGATAGGGGATCGGTGGGCGGCCGCGCGGTGGGATGTCGCCGGCCGCCGGAGAGGGCCGCCTGCCGTGGGAGCCGCAGACGGCAGCGGCTCTCAGACGCAGCGCCGCGGAACTCAGTGTCGATCGGGGCTGATATTGAACTTTGTCGGCGGCACGGAGAAAAGGTACATACATACAGGTGTGTCGGAAATAGAGGCCTGAAATCTGACCTGAACGGCGTAAAGCACGAAATTTTTCTTCGGGACGTCTACACATGTATTCCTATGGTGTACACAACTGACAACGTACCTAGTTATGTACATGCATGATAATGCAGTGCACATTATACGGTCCAGCAAGGCCCCACTTGGTACCGAAATGTGAAGTTCGTGAGACATTGTCGTCCCACGCCGTTACCGCCTGCCTTCGAAAAAAGACGGCGTTCAGAATCTCCAATGAATTGTTGTAAATACGTGTTTTGAAAATGAACGAATCAAGATTCAAAATCTCTGGGAGGATAATCCGTTCGTGTCAGTCTCGGTCACCGGCGCGGCGGCGATCCCCGCTCAGCTGCTCGGGGACGAGGACTGAGGACCCCCAAAGCAGTGGTGAGACCGCCCTGGTGGTGGGCCGCGCCCGTATCACTGCAGTCGGCCCGCCGGACTCAGCTGTGACCGATGGCGGCTCCGTGTGACATATGTCGCCGGCTGTTCGGCGGCCGCCCTATCGCGTCATCACACCATGTAGTCGGTGCGGACACGCGTGGGGCGCGTCCGTCCGGAGCGCACCGTCCCGCAGCTCCCCTCCGAACCACCGGTGTGGACACGGCCCATATTTCACTGATCACATCATAGGAGCATGTAACCGTGCAGTTGCTCTAGGTTCGACTTGCGTGCAATACTTAAGCTGTATAAACATTTGGCATATGCTATTTTTCTGATAAAAGAATCCCCGACTTATCGTATGTCGTCGTATGCTACAATCCAGCCTTCCCAAGTTTCCCACCTTCCCCAACATCGTATACATGGTCAGCGTGAAGATATTTACGTGTTTTGCGCCTGGGAGTCGGGCGCCGTCAGCCGGAGGGTAGATATGTGCTCAGAAAGGGTATGCCAATTTTTCACGTTATGCGGACTGGCCCGACTAATGCCGCGTTCATGGAAGAAGAAAGAGGGTGCTGTTTTGTGCGGCTGAGCTCTGTGCCTGTGGGATGTGGGTGCCTGTGGAGCACTTATCTGCAGCAGCTCATCACGTGAGGCGCGCCGGCCAGCCGCAGTTCGGCTATTGCCTATCGTTGCCCGTCCAGTGCCGGGCATACCACGATGGCAATCACACAAAATGAGCCGGCTGGAAACCAGTTCTTAGTCGGGAAAACGAGGGTAAATAGCTGCTGCGAACACCCCCGTCTCGGGAAGCACCCACCGGGTCGGAGGTTTGAGGGAGAGTGGTACAGGGAACCTACCCCCGGTCTGTGAGGGCTGCAGGGAACCACAGACCACTGCACGGGTCTGTGGCTGAGGGGTGCAGCGTGTCTGTCTCGGTCAGACGGTCGCTAACGCCGCCCCGCCGCGCTGGTCGATCTGCATGCATCCCCTCCGCACCGCGCCAATCGCCCTCTTCGTAACACGTCATTGTTGAGCCGAGAAACACGGCGACGTTTCAACGCAGAGCGCCATTTGCATTGCAAATGGCGTGTGGCAAAACAGCACACTATCGGGCGACGATAGACAGAGCGGATGCTGATAGACGAGACGCACCCTCCGTGCTTATCGCTCAGCGGCGCGCCCCCTCCGCGGCCCCCGCAGACGCCGGCGCCTCCGGTATGTGCGCTCCCCGACACTAACCGGGCTGGAGAGCACAGTTTCACTCCACACAGAACTTATCCGATCCGACCGGAGTTCAAGGACCAGTGCGGTGGAGTCTCAGGTTTCTGGAGCATTCGTAAGCACGGCCATGACGCCAGAATTTCCGCTTGAAAAGGAATAAAGCGGTACTTATTTGGCACGCACGCGTTCGACTAAGAACAGGCAGGCTCGTGGGTACCGCCTTGTGCCTCGGCCGGCTTATAATCTGTGAAAACCTGCTGCGATCTCGCCCGAGCACATCGCAATAAAATCGCGGCGTCAACAGGCGGCCGATAATTCCGGTCGGCTCGGCTGTTTTCGTGTGACCGGGCCTCGTCAGCGGCGCGGGCCGTGTTCGGCCGACAGCGACACGGGCCGGCCGGCGTCCTCTGTCAGCAGCCGGGCCGCATTGTTCGGCCGCTGACACGCCGGCGGTCAGCGCGCCGCAATAAAAACGCCGACAGCTTCTGTGGTGTGGGGACTCGGCCGGCCGGCGCAGCACAGCCTCCGCAAAACCGGCAGCTCGCCAGCAAACACAGTGGACAAGGTGGCGCGAAAAAAGAGTGCTATACCAGTTTTTCTTTGCCGAGTTGTAGCGCGCCGCAGTAAAACCAGCCTCGTTGCTGTTGACAGAAGTGTTCCCCGGTGCCGGGATAATGACGGGTACGGTGACAGAGCGTACCGGGCCGGTCGCAGGCGCGTCCTCCGCCGGGTTTACACGATCGAGTCCGGTCGACAATGGTGTGAATCGGAGCGCGGCGGCTCGACGACAGCCCCGACACGGGATTAGGTTGGCTCATATCCGGTAGCCGCGGTGTCACGATAATAAACTCACAGATGCTCTCCGTCTCACAGTACTTTTCTGCCTCTGAAGAAACACAAAACTCGTGAAGAGATCTGAGAAACGCGATCAAAAACGTTGGCACTATATTGGAAATCCATTGGAAACTTCATTGCAGCACGGAATACTGACACTAGATTGCGTATAAGCACACAACGCCTCAGTAAAGGGAGCTGCATCGAGGCATAACATCGAATATCTAATTCCGCGCAGGGATTGTGTCTAAGAACACAACACGAACATCTCAGCAGGAGCCAGCAGTCACCCCGCAGATATCTCCATCTTCCCCTAACCGACAGACTTCTGAGCAGGCCCTCGTCACATCCATGGCTGGTCACAGCGAGCCCTTCCCTTCACACATCCCTCTCATCACATGACATTCCTTATGGCCTATGTTTTGTGACAGTTTGTACTCTATATTCACGGACCAATACGCCCGAATAATCCATTCACCACCGTTTACCGGTTGAACAAGTGGCGAGTCTGGTGACTGGAGTGGTCTGGAGCAAACTCATCTAACTCAACTTTCTCAGCTCGCAACTCCAACTCATCAGACGAAACAAATCTTCTCCAAATCACTGTATTACAATAGACCAACAATCTTAAAGCACCCGATAGAAAACGAGCGTGACGCGAGGCACCGAAAATGTCGGTATGATCACATAACTGGGAAATCACCGTATCAAGATTACATACAGGGCGGCCCTTGGGGCCGCCACAACCAGATATCACGGCCCAGGTTTGTCACCGTCGGGTCCCACCCCGGTCTCACAGCGGGGAGGAGGGGGCAGTGTCCGGTCCCACCCCGGCGCCAGGAGCGGGGGTCGGTGGGGCACCGCGGACCTTACTCGCTGATCTTGGACACCTCGTTCATGTACGAGCCCAGCATCTTGATCTGAAAGGTGACGGGGGTGGTTTGGTCAGCAAAGTCCGTCAGATGGTTAACAGACCGGGTGAGAAGGGCGGCAGTGGTGAGCGCCAGTGAGAAGGGCGGCAATGGTGAGCGCCAGTGAGAAGGGCGGCAGTGGTGAGCGCCGGTGAGATACGGACGGCAGTCATGGTGAGCGCCAGTGAGATACGGCTTCCAGTGGTAAGCGCCACTCTCACCACCAGGGTGGCAGGATTACACACCACTCACCACCCTGGCACGGCCAAAACATTCGGCCCGAAATAATCAGGAGAACTACTGCAAAGCAAACGGCTACAACACAACCATGTGTGAGCAGATACCGGCCAGCTCAGCCAATATATCCGGCGGAGCGGCGGCCGGCCGGGATGGCCGAGCACTCACCCCTTGGATGTAGTTGGTCATGTTGATCTTCTCGTTCTGCGAGTGGGCGCCGTCGTCGCACGCGCCGACCGGCAGCAGCATCACGTTCTTGCCCGTCACCTCCTGTCGACGGCGACATCATATAACGTCAGTACCACTACAGACTAGTCACCTTCTGTCCACGGCGACGTCACACAAAGTTAGAGACATCACACAATAGTCACCTCTTGCCCACGGCGACAATATATGACGCTAGACATCACTAAGTAGTCAACCTCCTGTCCAAGGCGACAATATAAGGTCAGTGAAATTAACATTTACTGCAGACCTATCGAAGTCATATACATATGTTTCCACATCAGCGAAATAATACCACACCTGGCAACTCCACAGCAACTCATGTCACGGACATCACACAATACTGACGGATAGTAAATGGAGTCTGCGACTGACCGCCGCCGGGTCCGGTCGCTCGAGCGTTTGCTCCGCCGTACTGTGGTAGCGTGCGTACAGTGTACAGGCGTGTAATCTGCCGCGGCAGCCAGAGCGTGGCCGCTGAGTGAGAGCTAGTGGCGGCGGCGGACGGCACGGTGAGCGTGAGATATGGAGAGAGAGACTCTTAAGAAGGCGATGATGGAGTGCTTCAAGGACGGTGAGTTCCAGTCCATCCTCAAGGAGATCGTGGCTGAAGCGATGGCTGTGAAGGACGCGGAGATCGCCGACCTGCGTGATCAGCTGAAAAAGGCCACCACGCACATCAACGAACTGGAGCAGTACTCCCGCCGGCTGTGCGTCAACGTCAGCGGTGTTCCGGAGACTCCGAACGAGTCCACCGATCAGATCATCATGGATCTCGGTAAGATGGCCGGAGTCACTGTGACCCCCGCTGACCTGGACCGAACACACCGGATCGGTAAAGGCACCGGAGGGAGTCCGAGAATCATCATCGCCAGGTTCACGAACTTCTCAAAGCGCCAGGAGTTCTACAACTCACGACGGGAGCTGCGGAAACCTCGCTCTGTGCGCGGGTCGGTGGTCTCAACGGAAGCTGCTGGGAAGACCTTCGTCTCGGACAATCTCACACGGGATAATCAGCACACGATGTACGTGGCCAGGTGCTTGAAAAAAGAAGGTAAGCTGCACTCCGCTTGGACCGACGTCGGGCGGATGAAGATCCGGCTGCGAGAGGGAGGCCCGACCAAGATCATCCGATCGCTGGAGGAGCTCCGTGAGGCCGCCGACCCTGACCACCGACCTGACGCCGACCCTGCTGAGCCGAGTGATGCTGACCGCGAGGGTTTCCGGCCAGCCCAGGGGCGCAACAGGAAGTCAGCGAGGAAGTAAGAGGTCCTGCGATCAGCGCCACTGTTGAGCGAGATCTGCCTGGGCGCGCCCCTGCCCCTGCCGAGTGCCGACCTCAGCACTTGCCTGGCCGCGCCCCTGCCGCACCCAGCTACCGAGGTCATCCGTGCAGCATTCGTATGTCCCTCTATCTCGCTTGACTGCCCTCTGCCCTGTGTCTGACGACCCGTTCTCCCGTGGACGGCCCTCCGCCGACCCTGACGCTCACCTGGCCGCGCCCCTGTCGAGTTTTTTCGCCGGGGCTGCCAGCGTCTTGTTAATGTGTGAGTGTCCCTCTATCTCGTTTGTCTGCCCCTCTGCCTAGTGTCCGACCACACGTTCTGCCGTGGCCCCGTCTGGCGGGAGCGCCCGGGGCTGTGTGAGTGCACCAGCACTTGACCCCGCTCTCGGACACTCGCACCGCTGGCGATCCCAGGTGGCCTGGGGCGCTGTCTGACGGCCGTGTCTGCGGTGGCGCGTCTCCCTGTTGGTGGCTTTGGCTGCCGGTCGTGCCTCGGACGCGTGGGCCCTCTTGGGACTCGGCAGCGGCCAACTATATTGGGGAGAGCCTGGGAGTGACCTGCCCCTGCCGAGTGTGGACGGGGTCAGTGGTCCGGACCGGTCGGCTCGCTGACATCTGTCAGGGTGCGCAGGTCCGCAGGTCGCAGGTCCGCCTCACGTGTGGGGCGGACCCCGATCGACGGTGGACTTATGTTGGACGGCTGCTGCGGGATGCGGCCGGTTCGACTGACTTGTGTCCTTGTTTTGATTTGGTACTTGTATTGTGTCCGGGGATTGTCTGTGGGTGGGATCGGGTGTGGACGGGGCTGGAGGGGTAACACAGGAGAGGGAAGGGAGCCTCTATACCAGTGTTGTGTTCAGGTGCTGTGATTGTGTGTGCGGGGGGGGGGGGGGTGAGTGAGGGGAGGGAGGGGAGAGTCATCGGTTTGGTAACGTGTTTTGTACTTGTTTGTTTTATTATTCCGTTCTTCAATATGGAAACTGAATGCCACCCAAGCCCAGATTTGAATGTCAACTGTGCGCTAATTTATCTAGTCTTGCGTTTACACTCGTATTATTTTTTAGTTAATTTTTGTTTCGTTGATGTGTGTATGCGCTTATCTCTTCTGTTCATTTATTACTTGTTTGCGTGTCGTCCGCCGTCGCCGCTTGATAGTTTACCGACTTGTTTTGTGTTGCAGTGGCCGCCGGCTCACGGGAGAGCATCTCTTTCACTTTTCATCTCTCAGTATCGTCCGATCCCGGCAAAATCGAGCGACTGCCCCCGCCACTACGGACGACAGCAACTGAACTACCCCTCGGCTTCAACCCGGCATCCCTGGTCGCTGGTAAACGTACACTCATCCTCAACATCCTAATCCCCGTACAAAATTGTAAATCAACCTGCAAACCACTGAAAACACATCATCCTCATTCAAGTTCGTACCTTGTCATCAGCATTTCACACAAGCAATGTTCACGTCTAAACGCAAAGCAAAACATAAAAACTTTGCTGCTTATCGGTGGCATAGAACCAAATCCTGGTCCCCTTAAAGAAAAACAAGTAAATATATCCCACATCAACATAAATAGTATAACCGCCGCAGGTAGAAAGGATGAGTTGTCCCAGTTTCTTAGCTTAAATGACATAACCGTTTGCGCTTTAACAGAGACCAAACTTGACGATAACATTCCTAGTTCTATGTACAACTTAAATGGATATCACTCTCCCTTCACACGACACAGGACTAGGAAGGGTGGAGGAGTCGCTCTGTACTGCCATGCTTCCTTGCCAATTAAGCGATTAAACGAGCTCGAACTTGGAGAAGAGGAGTGGATATGGGCAAAAGTAAAAATATCTAATATGACACTGGTAATTTGCTGCCTTTACTTACCCCCAAATCAAACAACGGACAGACTAAATAGCTTTCTAGATCACTTGACGGAGAGTGTTTGTCTCGCACAGTGTTACTCACCGACAGCTATTTTAATTTTAGGTGACTTCAATGCAGGGAACATTTACCTAAACCGAGACAGACAGTACAAGCATAGCGGTTTATCTCCTTTTGACCATCAACTTTACCGTACTGCCGAAACTCTTGATCTCGAACAGATCATCCACCAACCTACCAGAATCACCGAAAACACACAGAATATTCGAGATTTGATTTTTACTAGTGACTCACAAATAATAGCTAGTAGTGGAACCATGTCACCATTTTCAAACCTTGACCATTTCCCCGTAATCGCATCCATCAAAATATCGTGCCCATCAAACACAAGCAATGACACACGCAGGCAAATATGGGACTATTCGAACCTCGACTCAGAACTTTTAACACGATTATTGCTTGACGTTGATTGGGAAGACATTTTAGATCACGACGTAAATGAGGCGACTGAAAGATTCATTAACCCGCGCCCTGGTGTGGGTCTGAGCCACCTTCGCCCTGGTGGGGGGGGGGGCCAAAATGACCCCCCCCGTCTAACTCGAAAACGAAGAGGGCTAGGAAGACGCGGAAAAAAGCAAACGAAAGCCCATAACAAGTACGTTCGAAAGTATTTCGGTCATTTTTTCGCTAAGGTCAATATTGAGGTCGCTAGAGGTCATCATAGGTCAAATTTCAGTGTTTTCGGTGTTGCCGGACATATTCCGCTGTAGCTCGGAAACTAGAAGAGCTAGAGAGCCGCGGAAAAAAGCAATCGATAGCTCTTTTCAAGCTCTTTCGCCAAGGTTCGTCAGATTTGACCTCAGCTCAACGGTTTGGCCTACAGAGGTCATGCAAGGTCAACTTGGCAAATTTTGTTGAAAATGTTTTTAACTATAGCATGCATTCACGAGAAAATAGAGAAACGATTCATGCACCATCGTGCTTGGCTCGTCGAGACGCGTCGAATGATATATAGCTTGACCTCGAAAGGTCATTTTGAAAATTTGACCTCAGGTCAAGGTCATGACCTTACCGAAATAGGTCATGCTGCATATCATTCGATCCGCATTGACGAGACAAACACGATAAACGTCGAACGGAGTCTCTATCTCTATTCAATAACAAGTAAGTGCAGAAAAACCGCTGGTGACCTCTGGTGACCAGGGAGATGACCTAGCGTGACCTCAGCGAGGTCACAAGCAAATGGTTTCACATGGGCTGTGATTTGCTGACCCAAGACACTTCAATAACGAAATATAGGATCAATCACGCCCGATTTAGCTGAAAAACAACTACTTTTCGATTCTCCCATTGACTTATAATGGGGAGCAGCGATGACCTGACCTGACCTTAGGTCACATTTATAAAAAATCCGAGATAGCCATTTTGTAGAGCTGGGTGACATCTTCAAGTACTGTAAATTTTACATCGATCGGATAAAAGCTGTGCCTTTGAGAGAGCTTTGAACTTTTTTAGAGGTGGTGTCAGTTTTGGTGACCTTGTGACCTGACCTGACCTGACCCGAACCCCCCAAAACAGGACATGATGTAAAAATGTTGAATAAACAGCTATACAAAGTTTCAGGGCGCTAACTCAAGTGGTTTCTGAGTTATCGCTGAAAAACCACAGGGGGGGGGGCCAAAATGGCCCCCCCCCACCAGGGCGAAGGTTAATGTTTTACTAGATGCCGGTGAGAAAGCTATTCCTCGAAAGACCATTTACATCAAACCATGTAAAAAACCTTGGCTGTCAACTGAACTTAACAAAAGCATAAGAAAACGCGACAGACTTTTCAAACTAGCAAAACGATCAAACACTAATTACGACTGGAATCGCTGGAAATACCAAAGGAACGTAGTGACGTCATTAAATAGGGAATTAAAGAGACAACATATAGAGAAACAGGTCCGTAAGCTTTTAACTCATAGACGAGACCCTTACAAATATCACCAGACGTTACGCGAAATAACAGGACGCAAAAAGACTGATACCATCCCACCATTTGAAGGAAAAGACGGAGAAATACTTACTGACAATTACACAAAGGCTACCCTTCTAAACGAATTTTTCGCCGGACAAACCAAAACTGACAAAAGTGGGACACTCTTACAGACAGCTATTCGAAGAACAGACACTTCGCCGGTACCCACTCTGGACAAAATTACCACATCTGAAAGAGAAGTTCTGCAAATTCTAAATTCCCTAGACGCCAACAAATCTACCGGCCCAGACAACATCCCTGTGAAACTTTTAAAATTAACTGCCATCTTAATTGCATCTCCTTTGTCGAAACTATTCAACAAATCACTAGCGCTAGGCATTTACCCTTCCAAATTCAAAGAGGCCAACATCAAACCAATATTTAAAAACAAAGGCTCCCCATCTGAGCCCACAAACTACCGCCCCATAAGTCTTCTTTCTTCGTTGTCCAAAGTTTTTGAAAAAATAGTCCACAAACACATATATGCACATCTTTCCCACCATAACCTCTTGACAGATAAACAGAGTGGGTATCGGCGAGGCCATAGCGCAGAACAACAATTATTATACTTGACACATAATTTATACAAAGCATTGGACTCAGAAAGCGATTTTACTGCTATTTACCTGGACATTTCAAAATACTTTGACAAAATTTGGCACGAGGGACTTTTGTACAAATGTAGACATGAATTTGGCATCACTGACTCACTTTACGACTGGCTAAAATCTTACTTGTCTGATAGACGACAGCGAGTTCAGATCGGCGATACCTTTTCAAAAACAGAAATTATCAACGCCGGATGCCCACAGGGTTCGGTTTTGGGTCCTCTTTTAGCCCTCATTTACCTCGATAACCTCTCTACTAGAACACAAAACGACATTTTATTTTTCGCAGACGACGTATCGCTTTATGCATCCCATACAAAACAAAATTTGAACACAACACAGACGTCATTACAAAATGATCTCAATGAAATACAAAAATACGGTAAAGAATGGGCGATTACTTTTAACGTAAGCAAAACAATACAACAGACATTTTCACGCAGCCCACAAAACACACCACCAGCTCTTACATTTGGGGACGACATAATACCCATTCACGAAAACCACGCTCATCTGGGAATGACATTTTCAAAGGACTTGCGGTTTCATCAGCACATTAACGAAATTTGCAAAAAGGTAAACAGAACCATGAGCCCATTGTACTCCATTGCTCCATACATCCCCCGAGAAATTTTAGATCAAATTTACAAAACATACACGAGACCACATTTTGACTTTTACGACACAGTTTATGACGGACATATTACGCTCCAGGACACACAGAGACTTGAAGTTTTACAAAACAGAGCGGCTCGGCTTGTGACTGGCACTTTATTTAGAACACCAACTGACAAATTGTTAAAAGACCTAGGATGGAACAAGTTAAAAACAAGAAGAGAGATGCACAAAATAACACTATATCATACACTCAATAGCCACATGCAAAAAACTCCCAACTACATCAAATCAATCATACCGGACACCCGCTCACAAAGAACAGGAAGGACCCTGCGAAATCACAGGAACCATACACTCCAACCACATCGCACCACATCCTATCAGTCATCGTTTTTCCTATCAACTGCCAAACTATGGAACCACCTCCCAGAATCATTAAGATCCTTGCCCCAAACATCCTTCAAAAAAGAAATTAACCAGCGACTAGGGATGCCCAAACCCCCAGACTACTACAAAATTGGCTCAAAAACTGGAAATATTCTACATACCCGACTAAGAACTGAAATGTCTTGTCTAAATTCTCATCGTTTTCAAATCAACAAAGCAGATTCGCCTGAATGTTCTTGCGGCCACTTCAAGGAAGATGTCCGCCACTACGTAATATTCTGTCGAAATTATGATGCCCAAAGGAAAACACTATTTGATAACGCTTCTCGTATACTGGGAAAAAATTTTGCAAATTACTCACCCGACCAAAAATTAAACATTCTTATCCACGGAGATCGCTTGAGTGGCGAGGGCAGTCGAGAAATGGCTTACGCCTTTCAAAAGTTTTTGACAAAAACAAATAGATTTTCGTAGTAACAAATAAATTCATTCAAAGTTTTCAAAATTTGCAATCCCGAGAGCTGAGCGGCTGATGGAACACCAAAATTTACCGCTCATGAGCGACTGGTCAGCGGCGGCGGCGGTTGTTTCACATGTTTTATTTTTGTTCCAGAGTGGTGCCTCGAGTTAAGCGATTGCGCTTTTGCACCACTCTGCTATCACTTTTATGTTGCTACATTGTGCCATATGTTTCATTGATCATGCTTTATTTCTCTTGTATCTTTTGTTCCTTAATAAACGTTTTGTGTGTGTGTGTGTGTGTGTGTGATAAAAGCAGAAAAATGAAATAGAGATGAACGTCGTTCAGTCAAGTGTTTTGATACGAGTTCGCAGTAACCATTGCGGTGTTTTTGTTTTCGCCACGTTGCTGCACGTCTCCCATTGTGATATGCAGAGTCCATTCCGAGTCAATGTCCCCCATTTGTCTGTGCCATTTCGCTGATGGTGTTTTCATAATTCACACCCCTAGTTCCAGATCTGTCGGTGCAATTGTTTTATTATTCGCTGGGGAGCCAGCGGAGGCGGTCGTTAGGTGTTGGTATACCGACTGCTCGGTCCGATCACTGCCAGGTGTGAGACCATTCGGCCGTCCCGGAGCTCTGTGGACACCCCCAGACTGGTGGGTCGGGTGGGGAGCCGCCGTACCATCAACAGCCACAACCCACTGAACACAGCCGTCCCATTGGCGGCCATCGGCGGCCAGGGAAGGACAGCGCTCCCCCCCCCCCCCCCACAGCCGCCCGGCTAGCCCCTCCTCTCAGCCGTCCGACCAACCGGAGCTCTCAGATGGCCGCATACACTACCCGGGCCGGTCACCCTCCAAACTCAGCGCCCCATCTGATACACAGGCTGCGGTCGTGTAGGTACAACAACGCCAATCAGCGGGTATATCCTGGACGGCTTAGCTATACAGCCGTGTGCTACTGTTTCCATCGGTGGGATCGGGTGGAGGACAGGGCTAAACTCGAACAGAATCGGCCACATGAGTTATAAGTCGCATTTCAAGGGCATAAAACAAGACGGATCTACAGCATCCAGCATGTTTGTAATAGCAAACATGCTGGAAACAGGCCAGGCCAGAAGTTAAGTTTTAGATGGACAAACGCGACTAAAACTGCCACTCTCTGGCAGGGTCGGATCAGCTGGTCAGTTAAGAGCATACCTGATATGTCAGTGTAACCAGCATGGAGCCTCCCTCTCCGATCAGGCCAAGTCGTACCTGGAAGGTCAGTGTAACCAGAATGGAGCCTCCCTCACAGGTCAGGTGAGGTCGGGTCATGTCAGACCGTACCCGGAAGGTCAGAGTGACCGGGATGGAGCCTCCCTCCCGGGTCGGGTCAGGTTGGGTCGGGTCAGGTCGTACCTGGAAGGTCAGTGTAACCAGAATGGAGCCTCCCTCTCCGATCAGGTCAGGTCAGGTCAGGTCGTACCTGGAAGGTCAGTGTGACCGGGATGGAGCCGCCCTCGCGGGTCAGGTCGGGCTCCACTCCGAACACCGATTTGATGGCGCGCGCTCCGGCCTGGTAGTGCGGATGGTGGGGGTCGGTGACCCAGCACCGGCCGCCGTGGAACATGAACGCCTGCCGGCACACACAGAGGTCAGGGCAGGTCAGGTCAGTGACCCAGCACCGGCCGCCGTGGAACATGAACGCCTGTGGGCACACAGAGGTCAGGTCAGGTCAGGTCAGGGACCCAGCAGCGGAACATACAAAGGTCAGGCCAGGGACCCAGCCTAGTACCTAGGTCATCACGTGGGTGCGTACACAGCGTGGGGCGTAAAGCAAACAGAGTGACCGTACCGTATGATAAATTAAACGGCGCGACTGCTGGCGATAAGCGCCGGGTAATGTCGGAGCGATACCAGGGGCGGAGATCGGGGGACGCAATGGACGCAATGGACGCTCCCACAGAGGACGCCGGCCATACGCACCTTCATTTCGTTGGGGCTGGCGCGCTTCTTCCACTGTTTGTTGAGGTACTCGACGACGCACTTTTCCACCGACTCGGGCGTCATGTTGGGCACGATACGGATGGAGAACTTGCCGGTCACCTTCATGGGAATGACCGTCTTGGCTCCGTCCTCTGAGAAGGCGCCGTGCACGCCGTGCAGCGAGAGCGACGGGTGCCGCCACCGGGCCATCAGCGTCTCAGCCTGTCCAGAGAACAGGGGACGGTAAATAGACCGACCTTCTGACCTGTAGAGCCACGGGGTACACATACCAGGCATGTCCAGTGTTCACCGCCAACAAATGATCTGACATGCCCACCTTGTCTCCCTCCTGGATGCAGCGGTTGGTGCCGATGTCCAGATCGTTTCCGACCCCCCCCCCCCCCCCCCCCGGTACCTCGCCCGCCGCCCACCTTGTCTCCCTTCTGGATGCAGCAGTTGGTGCCTATGCCCAGATCGTTTCAGAAACCCCTCCCCCCCCCCCGGTGTCTCGCGTCCGCCGCCCACCTTGTCTCCCTTCTGGATGCAGCAGTTGGTGCCGATGTCCAAATACCTCAGACCCACCCAGTGTCCCCTAGCGCCGTTACCTCGCCCGCCGCCCACCTTGTCTCCCTTTTGGATGCAGCAGTTGGTGCCGATGTCCTTGCGGTAGTCCTCCGGGTCGAAGTCGATGTCCTTGTAGAGGGCGCGCTCCTCGGGGGTGAGCGGCGCCACCTGCTCCTTCAGCCCGTCCACCAGGATCCGGCCCTCGGCGTCCACCAGCGTGTTCATCATGTACATCAGGTCGGACATCGCCTCGTGGCTGCCGGGGTACACGGACGGCGGGTTAGACGCGGGGGTACAACTGAACAGCCAGAGTTTCAAGTACTTCTCTGGAATGACGGTATTCACTGCAGCTGCCAATACTGTTTTATTAGGGTGCCACATGTAAACGTAACAAGAGTAAACAGATAAAACCACGAATTTTACGGGACACAAAAACAGGTATTGGCAACGGTTTGATCCTTTGATAATTCCTTCTAGATTCAGTAGGTACTTTTTGCTCACATATTCCCGCTAAGCAGCAAAACGATATTAAAAAACGATATTAAAAAAAAATTAACCGTCGCGTCTCATCTGCACTCAACTCACACGGTGCCGCCGAAGATGCCGCTGTGCAGGTCCTGCTTGGCGCACTGCACCTCGATGAAGAAGTAGCAGACGCCGCGCAGGCCGTACGTGATGCACGGCTTCTTCTTGCCCAGCCAGTAGTTGTCCGAGATGCAGACGAAGTCGGTACCGGCCAGGAACTTGTCCTTCTCGGCTGCCAGCAGGTCGTCCAGGCCCTCCGAGCCCGACTCCTCCATACCCTCGAACACAAACTGAACGGACGAGAAAGGTCAGCGCCAGGCGGTGTAGCACATCACCCACGCACAAACTGACGGTGGGCGACGGCGGCAACTAATTTCATTACACCGAACACGCATACAAACTTGCCTTCATTGGTCATATTCAGGCAGCCTCAACGCTTTATATTTCGTTTACGGGAATCACTAAAATAATATTCATTTGAAACATCTTTCCCCTGGTTCGCGGTCGGACATTTCCTGACGCCTACCACCCCGGTCTCTGCGCCCCTTCCCCACCTTGATATTGATGGGGATGTCCTGTCCGGTGGCCTGGAGCGCCTCCACGGCGTGCAGCCAGCAGAGCACGGGCCCCTTGTCGTCGGTGGCGCCGCGGCCAAACAGCTGGCCGTCCTTTTCGATCAGCTGGAACGGCTCGGTGGCCCAGCCGTCCTCGCGCGCCGCCGGCTGCACGTCCAGGTGGCCGTACACGCAGAGCGTCCGCTTGGCCGGGTCAGTGCCCAGCTGACCGAGCAGCACCGGCGGCAGCGCCAGCTTCTGGCCCGACGGCAGCTCCTGATGGGGAGAGACGGGGAGGGGTGAGAGAGGGTACAAACCACAACCGGCAGCTCCTGTAGGAAGGACGGGAGAGGAATTAGAGGCGAGGATGGACCACCCAAGGAAAGGGAATGCAGGTAAGGCAATGGTGGCTGGTAAGACATTTAACTATCTCATTGAAACGACAGAACCGGTAAGTGGACGCAATAGATGTACGAGTGCCCCCCCCCCCTCCGGTATCTCTCGTCCGACACGATCGGTCGCCTGTACTCGTCAAGTGGCGGCTGTCGATACTCGATTACGGCTAGGTTGCTCAACAGCGGTACTCACGGCACCCTACCCCCGAACCATTCCTACCAGCTCAGAGTCCGGCCCGGCAGAAGCAGGGTCCATCGGCGAGCTGACAGTGTTTCGCAATAAACCAACCAACAATACGGGCAACATGCATTTGTGCGTTCTCTGGGTATGGAAAGTTGGACAGATCTTACATTAGTGTTTCGGTTCAATAGTGGACTAACGGAAAACAAGGTATAAGTAGTTATAACGAGGTATTACAGAGCTGGTAATGTGAATATATGTTATCCACGCAACCGCAAACATTTCACTTTTTTACTGGCACGATGGGTTGCATGCATCGCTTGTGATCTTAAATATTTCGCCGCCTTTTACAAAAAAAATGACTTAATCGTCACTGATCATCGTAAATACCTAATACATTTGATCATCATAGACGATGCCCCTAATAAAACAGTAACAAGCCCTGACAGAAAAGGGCAGTCGATTGTTGGCGTATGTAACACCGAAAGCATTCATGATGTAGTAAGAGGCTCGTCCAAATGCCACTAACTGTTGACATAGCTGAAAGATCAGCTCACAGCTTATTTACACCAGCTATACCGCATCGCCGAGCTGCACTCGGATAAATACACTGTGCACACAGTGCAGCTTACAGGCGGCGCTGCCATTTCCCGAGCACCGCTGAGCTGGTAGGGCCTACCGGAAGATAGCGTAACGCCGGGAGAGGGGCCGGACCGACTATATCTGGAGCATGTACTCGAGAATACGCGGATAGCTGGGAGTGGTTCAACTGTTCAAGAGTCCGGGGGTAAACTCCGGTAGGGGGGGGGGGGGGCAGCGCGTGACCAGTATCGGCCGGCACACCCCCAGCCCCCCCCCCCCCGACCAATCGCCGATATAGCAGCCAGAGTACACACGGCACGGATAGCTGAGGAGTGCCGTCCTATCGGCCGGCTTTTGAAGCACCGATTAGCGGCGGAAGACTGATGGGAATACATGCGACTGACTATAAGCTGCGGATTTAGAGCATTACACCAAGCTTTGAGCATGCCATCGACAAAAGTAAAACATACTCTGTGTTGATATCATGATATCATCAGCTGTGGTAGGTAACTATTTTCGCATGCTATAAATTCTGTTTCCATTTACATTCAATTCGAACAGCATCGCTTGAAACGATGACGCATGCATTGCAAGCTACTAAACGATGAAGTACGAAACAATGTCAATTAAAAGCTGATATCTGAGCATTTACAAATGCTGAAACTCTAGTTTGTTAATGTGTGACATTCTGAATAATGCGTACGCCCTCCGTAGCCCGTAAGCTGTTCCATCACTTATTTCGCCTGCGGCTGTGACTCCGAGCGGGCCGATGTCTCTGTCGTTAGCCAGCGTTCCTTCAGGGTGCTCGTTTTGGCGGCTGATTCCGGCCTCTTCTGCGTATATCAAGTCTCCGGCACCGGCGCAGGTCCGTCTCTGTCTCCGTTCTGTCTCCGTTCGTAACGCGAAGGTTCGTGGCCATCCCTCTCAGCTCGACACCCGTTGTATTCTGTTCCGGTCGGAATCCGCTCCCGACACGGCTAGGTCTTTGTCTCCCACCCCGGTCGGTCTCCAAGTGCTGCCTCTGTTGTCTGCCCGTATCCGTCTCCGGCCCCGGTGGGTCTCCGGTCCCTGGCGTCAGTCGGTCTCCGCCCCCCACACCGCTAGGTATTCGTCTCACCTCCCACCCCTGTCGGTCTCCGTCCCCACACCGCTAGGTCTTCGTCTCACCTCACACCCCTTTTGGTCTCCGTCCCCGGCTCGTGCCCGTCCCCCGTCTCGGCCTTCGTCTCCGTCTCTTACGCCGATCGAATTTCGTCCCGGTCGAACTCCTCCCCCGTTATCCTCCGTCCTCGGCGCTGGTCGCCCTCCCATTCTCTGCCTTCCGCCGGTCTCCACCTCTGTCCCGTCCCGCTCAGTATACCTGTTCCCGTCTCCAGCAGCACTCAGTCTGTTTCCCCGCCCCGCTCGGTCTCCGTCTCCGTTCCCAGTCCCTCACCTGTTCACCGACATCGCGGTACTCGACGGTGGCGCCCAGCTTCTTCAGCCGGTCGCCCACCCAGTGGACCATCTTGACGATCTCAGGGCGGGCCTCGGGCCATGCCGACACCGACTTAATCTCAACAGCCTCCCTCAGCAGGCTGACATAATGAGTCTGGTGCTCGTCCACATACCTAGCACAAACAAATAAATCAGCAGAGCGAACTAAACACAAAACACACTGGCTTGGCAAAGGCCCATGCATTGGGTTTGTTATAATTTATTTCAGTCATCGGTGTGATTATACACTACACTATGAAATAAATGGGAGGGTGAGGAGTGGGATGACACAAAGTTTTAATCTGTCTTGAAGAGAAGTGACAGCTTCAGTTATCTTAAACCTTAGTAAAACATCTGTCCTCTAACAGCTTCAATAATCTTAAACCTTAGTAAAACATCTGTCCTCTATGCCGAAAATGTCACAATCATGAATCACATGCTATATGGCTGGCCAATTGCACGCAGTTCATATAAAAAGCTAGTTGAGTAGTGAACTGAGTACATATGCTTACTTGAAAAACTTGAGGAGATCCATGTCTTCCGAGCAAATATTTGAAACTCTCCTTCAGAATCTTATGTGCTCAATCCTTGTATTGCCCTGAAATTGAAATTGAAATGCAAAAATTGTCAAAAAGGAGGTCACAAAACGTCAGCTTAATCGCGCAAACTCCGCATGTTAAAGCAATTACCGTCAACTTAAACGAATTCCAATGATATACCGGCGAGCGAGATTCGTAGGAATGTCGTACAGAGAAAATTTGTACAGAACATACAGAACTTTCAACCACCACCACCCACCTCAGTCGGGCGCACTATGGTATCGGCAGTCCATTTATGGATACGTATCTATTAAAGGAAACGTTTCCAAATTTGGAAGGCACTTTGTTCCATTTATGGAAACGCCAGTTCCAAAATTGGAAACGCCAATTTTTAAGCAGGCATATTTCTGTATTTCTTAAGTTAATAGTAATCTTTTCAGCTGGCGTGTCTTTTTGTCGATATGTTTTCTCCCAAAACAGTAAAATCCAACAATATTTTCGTACGCAAATGGCGAATCTGATGCCCTGACGCAAACCCTTGTCAACGTTCCATTTTTGGAAACGGAAGGTTCCAAAAATGGAAACTATGAGCCAACACAGGAAAAGGCATAAGCAACATATTATTGATATGTGGGCCTGTCTACCCCACGCCTTCTAAGTAATTGCCGAGCTATTGATGCCGGTACATGTTCCGATATGGGTGATTTCCCTTTGCATCTAAATTTCGTATGAATGGTCCTCCAATTGCTTGGGCATAGTGCCCGAAAGCCGATGTTGGTACAATAATGCTTACGAAAATGTGTCTTCTGGGGAAAGTCCCCAATTTCTAGGCACCTACATAAACCCCAGAACTGTCCAACCGTCTTGCCTACTAAGCTGCTACTGCTTACGAAACCCACATTATAACATATTTTAACTGTTTCAAGCATGCATGCGTGACTGCAGTAAGCGTCGCGATGTGCCCTGAATTGCGGTTAACAGACTCTGGCTTCCCAAGAAAAGCAAGGCTTTATAAGTAAGGTTGGAGTTAAACTTCGGCCTAATCAGGCCGGTTCAGAAGCTCTGGTTCGCATCTCATGCTGTCGGAGCGTGCACATTTTCCAACCTTCTCGTGGATTATTAGAAATGAGAAAGGCAGAAAGTGCTTCTAAAAACATTAAATGCAAATAGGAGTTGAAATACATATAACCTACTGCATCTGTGAGCTGTATGTACAACATGAGTTAAAATTCGTCATTTGTTCCAAAAATGGAAACTGTGCTTCATAAAGCATTATTCAATGGGCCTTACACAGGCACTAACTGAAGGCCTACTGAACTAATACGGTGCAAAGTGGGCAATTAGTACAGTTTGAGCATTTCCCTATCCATAGAAATTGTTTATAACACCTTGTCATCGCTTTTTCATTTAATGGAATCGTTTAAAACTGGACGACAGCTTGGATCGCTTCCGACAAGCAGTAACATATCAGACCTTTAATGCAATTATTTACATACATTCTACCAACTTTCACACATTCGTAAGTTAAATGGGTGCTAAGAAGTTCAGTTTGCCCACTTAGAAGCATCTGTACGAAATATTTTCCAACTTACCGCCTTCCAAAGCCGGAATGACGATCTCCGCACGTGGTCACCAACACGCCATTCAGGGCTTGCTTTACAGCAATGTAAAATATTAATGAATACCAGACAGCAAGTCTGCCAATTAAAAAATTGCCATTCTTGTGAAAATCAAATTTTTCCACAAAAACATGAGGTATATTTCATTAATGACACATAAAAGTTCACCTATCATGAAAAAATCTATTGTTTACAAAAGGAAGTGGACCGTGCAAGCCTGTTCAACAGCCGATTTTTCTGTTCAACGTTGGAATTATGAAGCGAAATGCGGTCTTTTGATTGGTGGCCTTTGTTTGATGCGGAAATCTATGGTTTGTTGCGGAAACTACCGAACAGGTTTATGTGCTCCTTGCGTTTCCGAAAATAGAAACGGAGCGTTTCCATTATTGGAACAGTTGGTTTTTAGCGTTTCCATTTTTGGAACTTTCTTCCAAAAATAGAAACGTTTCTATAAATGGACTGCCGATACCATAGTGCGCCCGACTGACCTCAACACCTCAACCTGCAAAAACAAATTGCCGGCACAGGCCACAGACGCGCAAACGCCCATGATGTTGATGTGGAAGCCAAGATTGTGGAAGCTGTGGTAAAGGAAAGTAAAGGCAGCCGAGAGGCACACAAGAAATAACTTCGACCGACAACCTTACCTTACCTTACCTTAGAAGTACACGGAATTTTGAGGCCAAGTAGCAGGCCTATTGGACCGGATCATTACTTTAAACTCGCTCTGTTTCTATTGATCGAAGACTGATGAATATTGGATGTTTTTCCAGTGGGAGTCGAGTCGGGACTTGAAGGCATTGACAGTAGGTGCGGATACAACAGAGGGAGGCAGGCCGTTCCAGCTGTTGATTGCTCTGACTCCCAGAAAGTTCCTCCTCGCTCTTGATCTTGATCTTGGCTTGTGGAGCTTCAAATGATGGCCTCGAGTAATCCTGGAGCTTGCCAATGGAAGGAGACCTGGGCGCACATCGAGGGAGCCCCGGAGTATCTGGAAGACCGTTATCATGTCTCCTCGTAGGCGTCGATACGTAAGTGAGGGCAGGTCCAACTCCCTGAGTCTCTGCGAGTATGGCTTGGGCCGTAGTTCACGGACCAGCTTGGTAGCACGTCTCTGGACTCTCTCTATCTTCTTTTGGTCTCCCTTCGATGGCGGTCCCCATATACTGTTACCATATTCCAGGTGAGGTCTTATCAAGGTCCTGAACAACACAGTAAGCATGTCTTTGCTAAGATTTCCAAACGATCTGCGGATGATTCCGAGGAGCTTGTTTGCTTTGGCCACAACCCTTGCTGTCTGAACATGAAACTTCATTGCACTGTCTATTGTCACGCCTAAGTCCTTTTCTTCGTCAACAGCAGTGAGGTTTGATTCAAACATTTTGTAGCTGACACAGGGGTTCCTGGGACCCATGTGGAGCACCTTGCATTTGTCCAAGTTGAGTGGGAGTCTCCAGCGTTGTGACCACTCAGCTACTTTGTCGATGTCTTCTTGAAGTCGAAGTCTATCACTGGGGGACTGAACAGGACCGAACAGCTTGGAGTCGTCCGCGAAAATCTTGATATGACTTTCAAGATGGTCAGGCATGTCATTGATGTATATGAGAAATAACAAAGGACCCAGTACGGAACCCTGAGGAACACCACTTTTCACCTTAGAGCTGCTTGACAAGGCGCCTTCGACCAGGACCTGCTGGGTGCGATCAGACAGGAATGCTTCGACCCATTTCAACACCCTTCCATCAACACCATAGTACTTCAGCTTAGAAAGAAGAAGACCATGTGGGACCGAATCAAATGCCTTGCTAAAGTCGAGGTAAATGGTGTCGACAGGCTGCCCAGAGTCTATTGCTCGCGTCCAGTCATCCATAGCTTCAAGGAGCTGGGTTGTACAGGACCTTGCAGGACGAAAACCATGCTGGTGAGGACTAAGCAGATTGAAGCTCGCTAGGTGAAACATGATCTTGTCCCTGACAACTGATTCCATGATCTTGCAAACGACTGAAGTTAAGCTGACTGGTCGGTAGTTCTTTGCATTTTCCCGGTCGCCTTTCTTGAAAATGGGAACTACTGTAGCGTGACGCCATGTTTTCGGAACGATCGACGTTTCCATGGACTTGTTGAACACCACAGCAAGAGGATGGGCAACCAATGGCGCCAACTCTTTCAAAACTCTGGGATGAACCCCATCTGGACCTGGTGCTGCTGACACATTGAGACTCTCGAGCTTGGACGTGACCTCAGCGGGGCTCACCGACATGTCACTGAGGATCTCATCAATTTGAGGGAGTCTCTCGATGCTCTGGGCTGGCGAGGCAATTGGTTCACTTGTGTAGATACTGCTGAAATGCTTGTTCAATATCTCAGCTTTCTCATGTGGTTCATATCTTGGTATACCTTGTTCATCTATGATAAGGTCGATTCCAGACTTGGTTTTGAGGCGAGAGTTGGCGTACTTCCAAAAAGCTTTTGGGTTGTCCTTCAATTGAGATACTATGGATACTTCAAGTTGGGTTCTCAGCTTCCTCGTCATTTTTCTAAGGGCGTTCCGTGCAGCAGCATATCTAGCAAAGTCCTCTGGGCGTCTAGACTCCATGTATATGGCCCACAGATTTCGTTTCTTTTTACGCAGTCTCAAGGCTTCTTTGTTCATATACAAGTTTTTTGCTTTAGCAATCTTAGTCTTCGGCACAAACTGTTCAATGAGGCCCGCTATACTGTCTTGAAACAATGTATAGGCATTCTCCACATCAAGCCCTATCATTGAACCCCAGTTGACTTTGCTTGCCTCAAGCCTTAGCTTGTTAAAGTCAGCCTTGTAAAGGGCAGGCTTCAGCTCTCTATGAACAGATTGTATTGTGTAGCAGTTCACTGTAAATCGCAAAACCAGATGATCACTCATGTTTAAGCCAGGCAGATACTCGAGGTTTTTGATCATCCCTTCTTCATTAGTGATGACAAGATCCAAAACACTTGGTGTAGTACCTTCACGGTATCGTGTAGGGTGCAATATGTGCTGGTGAAGGAATACATCATTCATGGTCTCCAGGAACTGGTGAGTGGGATGCTCTGGAGGCATTTGGCTTGCCATAATGTTCCAGTCAATGTGTGGGTAATTAAAGTCACCAGCCAGAAGAAAGTGAGAAGAAGATCCACACACTTCTCTGAGCAGACTACAAACCTGAAGTGTACTTTCAAGAACATTTATGCTGGGGCTCCTATACAAACATCCTAGGAGCAAAGTATCACTACCCAGCAGCGGTATTGAAAGCCAGAGTACTTCTACCAAGCTTCGGGGTGAGAAAGAGATGGTTCGGCATTTTAAATGGTCTTTAGCATAAACGCATAACCCTCTCAACCCCAAAGATCCAAGACTTGGTTTCTCTGGATCAAAATTCATAAATACTTTGTAGCCTGGTATCATGAAAACCGATACAGAGAGAGGGACAACTTGAGCTTTTGGGATAACCTCAGTTATCAATATCAAGTCTGGTTCTGACCCAGCAATCTCCAGCAGTAGACAGTCCCTCTTGTTCACCAGTTGATCTGCATTTGTGTACAGTATCTTTAGTCCATTCCTTCTACCATGACCTTGTTTGAGTCATTGCTGTCTTTGTTGAGCCCCACGCCCAGCCTGCATGGTTCTGGGCACTTCAGATTGGGGTGTGCTTCCTCGTCTGGTTGTGTCAGCTCTTGACTCAGCCGACTGAGGCTTCGGATTCTCTTGTCTCGCAGAGTTGGAGAGCTTAACAATAGCACCACGCCTTATGACAAGACCTTGCTCACCAGATGCTTTTCTGTTTGCCAGTTCTTGTCTCAGCTTCCTGTTGATCTCCCTCTCAGCAGGGGTCAAGTCAGGATTTATGTATAGGTTCCTCCAAGCTGAATTGTCTCTAAGCTGGGCTGACATGCGGAGGAGCTCTTGCCTTGTTTCCAGGTCTTCCATCGTGACAACAAGGAAAAGGAGTGAATTTGAAGTGAAATAGAAAAACTATGGAAAATATGATATTCCCAACCATTTAATGATCTCTTTTTTTTAGTTAAAACATTTTAGATATTGGATTTGTGTGTGAACTAGGCGTCCTTTTTTCTTTTTTCTTTTGGATGTTTACCATTTTGCGCATAATATGGTAGCGCAATTGAAATACATAAGAGACGCTCTTGTTTCATGTAATGACTAGTGTGATGTTAGCGATTTTTTCTCGCTGATTTTTGAATTTCTTTGGCATTTCTTTGGTATTTTGATTTGTATGGCCATTGCATTGAATGTTTTTAGTATTGTGTGTTCGCGCGTTGAGACGATAGAGTATGCAAATATTATCCGGTTATCATTTATCCCAGATATATTAGCGTAGAATGAGAAGTTTTTGGTTCATGCGATGAGCAGGCTCTCACTCTGTATTGATTTTTGAGCAAGGAAACTTCCATGCCAATGCAGTAATTCACATTTTCTCTGTAAGCTGCTAATGTACCTTTTGTGTAATTTGCTGCTTCTCACTTCATCAAAATTTTCTTTTCATTTTTATGATCTGGTCTGCTTCATGGAAAAGCTGGCATATCAGACCGAACAGCATCCGTTCAAAGACTCAGTGGGATGGACTTTGTCCAGCTTTGATTGGTATCCTCTGCTCATCCTAATTGTTCCATTTACCTGCCAGGGATAGCACTGTTGGATGTCAGTAAGGTTCGGGGCCTATACAGCAAGTTCTGCTTCAGGCTGAGTGTGAGTCATTCTTTCTATCCAAAGATTCTAGCCATTTTTCTGGAAAGGCATTATTTCACAATCACAGATCATAACTCATTATTTTCCAGGAATAACTCAGAACATGAATCAAGTTAACTGAAAATATTGTACAGTTTTCTATCAACAGCTAACAATTACTGCACCATGGATACTGATCAAATTAATTCACTTGAGAATGCTGGCCAAGAAGAAATAGAGAAACTGCTTCAATCACTTGCTACACAGGTATGTGAAACAAGAAGGAATAAGGATTTTAAGTGTTCTTCAGCTGCACTGCACAGATTGATGTGAATCCAAGGAGTCTCTTTTGGTTTCATTGCACCCACCCTCTCATGCTTAAATTGGTCACCAGTTGTCTATTCTCCGGGATCTTGGTCACTAGGACAAGTCAAGCACAAGTGGAAGCACTGGCAAGTGGCAGCCACTGGGCCCGGCAATCAGCCAGTTGGCTGTGCAATGTCACATTGCACGGCCAACTGGCTGATTGCCCAGTGGCTGCCATAGAAACCAGAATACATATGATGCAAGGATGTTCAGGCATATTAGATAAGCTTTATGTCGCTTAACTTCTTGACAGGGGGTTCAAGGCAGGAAATCAGTCTCTTTTTGGCCAATAAAGTTTTGAGCTGTATTTAGCTATCTGAATAGCCAGCAGCCACCTCAGACTGCCTGCATACAGCCTGAGCTTGGTTGGGGTGTAACCCCCCATGGGGGATTTCGGACTGACTTACACAAAGCTGTTGCCACAGTCTGCTCTGACCCTCTCACCACCCTGCCTTGCCTGCAGCTGGGGACCTGTATGACGTTTCCTGAGCTGTCGGCCGCCGGCCGGCGCGAGCGCGTGTGGCGCGCGCTGTTCCGGTGGCTCGAGTCGGAGGAGACGGCGTCGTCCGTGCAGACCGCTGCGCTGGCGCTCCTCAGGATTCTCACGTTAGTAAACGACCGAAGTGTGTTTTACGGTGAATGTCGAATGGAGAACATTGTGTTGCGATACGTTTGCCCCGATCTGTATCAATGCTTTGACGTGCGATGACATCGGTCCCGTCCTCTGACCGACGGTCTGTCTCCGCTGAACTCCGTTTCGTCCGCTGACCTCTGTCCCGTCCGCTGACCTCTGTCCCGTCCGCTGACCTCTGTCCCGTCCGCTGACCTCCGTCCTGTCCACTGACCTCCGATGACCTCCTTTTCGTCCGCTGATCTCCGCCGTCTGTTGACCTCAGTCCCGTCCGCTGTACTTCATCCGGCCTGTTGACCTCCGTCTCGTTATCATTTTAAGCCGAGACGAGAACGGTTTGGACCGGGTGGTGACGTCACGCCCCGTTTTCAGCCGGGATGAGGACGGCCTGGACCGGGTGGTGACGTCAGAGCGGGTGGACCGACTGATCGCCCTGGCCGGCCTTCAGACCCAGGAGTGCATGGAACAAAAGCCCGACAACAACCCCGACTACAAAGGTGAGATTCTGTGGTCGAGTACACCGCACTCTTGCAGCCTACCGCGCAGAGGGACAGCTAACTACCACTCTACAGGCCACAGGGGGAGGGTCTGATAGTGCGCTCTTGTCTCGGTTGCCTGATTTATTTCCTTTTCTATTTCCTCTGACCGTGTGCTGGTTCCCGTGCTGACTCTCCTACTCCCCCGCCTCGCTCTGTGGCCGGCAGTGATCGAGGAGGCGGCCAAGTGCATGTGTAACCTGTGCCGCCAAAGCGGCGCGGCGCGCCGACTGGCCGCCGCCAGCGCCGCCTGCCTGCAGGGCCTGACGCTGCGGCTGCGCGCCTTCCGCGAGCCGGAGCTCACCCACGGCGTCAAACTGTACTCGCTCAAACTGCTGTTCCTGCTCTCCACGCTGTGTCCAGAAATACGGTGAGTCGGACCGGCAAACAGACTCGGCCCACAGTCCGGTCATAACATTTCGACGCCCGGTCCGCTCACGGCACCCGCATACCCGGTCCGACGAACAGACTTGGCCGCTGGTCCACTCCAGTGTGCAGGCCTTACATCGATGGACAGAATAGAACACTGCAATTAAATTGTGCATGGTACGAAGATTCTCCTAATTGTTTTCCTCCCACAATATTTGACGGCGCCGTCCCTCCGACAGGCTGCCGCTGGTGCACGACCACCACGGCCTGACGTACATGACCGAGGTGCTGGATATGCTGCTCAGCACCAGCCTGGCCAGCGCCGCCCCGGACGACGAGAGGGTCAGTGAGACAGTGACGTTCGGAGGGAGGGAATAGAGTGGGTCAGTGGCGCGGGGAGGGAGGGGATAGAGTGGGTCAGTGGCGCGGGGAGGGAGGGGTTAGAGAGAGCAGATCGGTGGCACGGGAATGAAGGGTAGGTCGAGGGAGGGAATGGCAGTTGACTTGTGGAAGGACAGGAGTATAATTTAATCAGAAAATGTTTGTTTTTATATTTTGGTGCCTTTTTTTGTCGCTGTCTGGTGTATGCTAAGACTCTAGCTTCTGCGGCGAGTATCGGTTGACCGATGTTTCTTTGTGTGTGTCAGGCGCGCGGCGTGGAGCTGGCCTCGGAGATTCTGAAGGTGGTCTACAGCGTCACCCACTCGCTGGCGTCTCCGGACGAGGAGGACGAGGGACACCTGATGAGGCTCACAGAGGTGCTGCGAGAGTACCTGGTGCTGTCCAACACCACCGAGGACCTCACCAAGTGAGTGATTGGTGCAGTGCTGCCCGACACCAGGGAAGAGGATCACTAGGAATGTCTTATGACTAGTAATATCACCTGTGCCGCATGTCCCGATCAGCAGTGTGATTAGATTCCTCTGACCCCGGCGCCCCAGTTTCCCCCAGGGCCTAGTTACGTGGTACTAAATACTAATCCCTGCCCGCCCCCCCCCCCCAGTTTCGTGGTGCAGGTTCTGACCACGGTGCCGTCCAACTGTTACCCGGCGCTGCTGGTGCCCGAGGCGCCGGGCGCGCGGCCAGACTCCGGGGACGATACGGCCGCCCTGGACACGGTACTTCACCTGCTCGGAGTCAAACTGCAACAGGTGCGTCAAGGGGACGGAGTGGTGTACGGCAAAACCACGGGACACAGCGGGGGGTGATGGTTTGGTGTGATGAATAATAGTTGCCTGGGAAAAACGCACTGTTTGGGTGTTTCACATTTATATGCCATTATCATTGCGTTTCCTTGATTCAGCACGAGCAAGAACAAGGTAATAATAAGAGATTTATGCGTTTTGACGGCATTCATTTGTTTTGTAAAGGCTTGTTTTTCTTGTCTGTCCGTCCTATCAGCCCACGCTAGGTGTCTGAGCATGGCGACACCCGACTGACGCAGCCGTGTATATCCATGTGTCCTCAGACGCAGAATCTGCCGGCCAGCTGCCAGCGGGAGCAGCTGACGCCCATCCTGGCCATGATGTCCTACTCCAGCAAGGCGTGCCGCGCCATCCGTCGGTACTTCCGGGCACAGGTACGGCATAATCAGCCCAGATACGGTACCTCAGCGACCAGCTATAGTACTTCCTGGTACAGGTACACTCGGGGGCAGATTGATGTTCCACAACTCTTTATCCACCGGGTTCCTATGGCTCAGCATTGGCAGCAGCCGCCTGGTACCGGTAGACTGTGCCGCTTCACTTACTTGTCAAGCGGCACAGCCTACCCACCTGTATGACACCGGTCTGGGTCGGTGGCTGGAAGGCGATGTGGGCCGCCTGTGACGTCAGCGCAGCGGTGAGGGCCGAGCCCGGAGGCATGGCTCGGGTCGGCGCGGCGCGGCGTCTGGCGAGGGCTGGGGAGTGAGGTGGGGTAGGAGCACGGACCATCGCGCGGCTGAGCGAGTGTAGTTAACTTTCGCGTCTCAAGGCGCCAATTATTCTACCTAACAATTGTGCTAAAGCAGTTGTTAAAATGTCCTATCCCGAAGACAGCGCCTATCATCATACTTGCCATGCACATTACGACACACTTAAACGTGACATTGGGACAGCCGATAGAATTTATATCACACGTGCATCGAGTTGCGGAGCTACATTGTTTTTAACAGATATGTATTAAGGCCTTGATTGCGCTCATTGGTGTCTATTATTTCGCACATCAATCGTCCAGAGACGTGGGAACTGGGGTTTTTGGATAGCGCGGCGTCCCAACTCTTATGTTCCTCTAATGTGTGGTCGCAGCCACCAATAGCAAACCGTTCCATCTAGGAACAAATAAGTCGCGCACCTGGGACGGTTCGAACCGGGTTTCTCCAACCGGTCACCCCACGACGCTAGCGTGTATCCACTGAGCTGCCGAAACCAGCGACCACCCGCCGCGGTCAAACGCGATCAAATGTCACAATACTGTCATTGGCGGTCAGCGGGTGAATGTCATTTTGTTTTGTGCGGACGAGGATCATTCTCAGTAGCTCAGTGGATGAACGCTCGTGTCGTGAATTGGCCGGTGGGAGAAGCCCGGTTCGAACCCCCCTGGGTGGCCGACTTTTTGGCTCCTAGTTGGAATGGTTTGCTATTGGAGGTTGCGAACACATATTAGAGCAACAGTAATAATCGCTTTAAATTGGAGCGTTGGCTGCGGCACTACTCATAACCCCCAGTTCCCACGTCTCTGGACGATTGCCGTGCGAAACAATAGACACCAATCTGCTCAATCAAGGCCTTAATACTAATATAGCTCCGCACCTCGATGCACGAGTGACAATTGACATAAGTTCTATCGGCTGTCCCATTGCCACGCTTAAGTGTGTCGTAATGTGCATTGCAAGTATGATGATAGGCGCTGTCTTGGGGATAGGACATTTTAACAACTGCTTTAGCACAATTGTTAGGTAGAATAATTGGCGCCTTGAGATGCGAAAGTTAACTACACTCGCTCAGCCACGCGATGTCCGTGCTCCCACCCCACCTCACTCCCCAGTCCTCGCCAGACGCCGCGCCGCGCCGACCCGAGCCATGCCTCCGGGCTCGGCCCTCACCGCTGCGCTGACGTCACAGGCGGCCCACATCGCCTTCCAGCCACCGACCCAGACCGGTGTCATACAGGTGGGTAGGCTGTGCCGCTTGACAAGTAAGTGAAGCGGCACAGTCTACCGGTACCAGGCGGCTGCTGCCAATGCTGAGCCATAGGAACCCGGTGGATAAAGAGTTGTGGAACATCAATCTGCCCCCGAGTGTACGATATGGTGATGGAAGATGGCGAATCACACCACTTCCGAGGCGACGTGGAACCAATGCCAAACCCACCGCGTAAGCTGGCTCTGAATATGTATCATGTCGACGAATGCGGCAGCCTGCCGGGCCGGCCGCCGCTCCGTCTGACCGATACACTCCCTCTGTGTCGCGCAGATCCTGCCGCCGAGGCGGGACGTGCTGACGCGTCCCGAGGAGGGCTCCTCGCTGCGCAGTCAGCTCATCCGGCTCATGACCTCTCCCGTCTCCGAGGTCAAGGTTCTGGCGGCCCACCTGCTCTTCGTGCTCTGCAAGGAGGATGGTGAGAGGCAGATATGCGACAAGCCGCGCAGCTGACTGCTCTCGCCTGCCCGCCGCGTGTTACACCAGCTATCGCCAACGATTGCTGACATCTTGCGCGTCTAGTTATTAGCAGAAATGAAGGAAGACAGTATTGACTTTTGGACATGTCATTTCAAGCCCAGTATGAAGTGTGGTTGGACTTAAACTCATTTATACCCATTATTATATCTGCAGCTTATCGTAATACATCAGTCGCATAGTGCTCATCGTGCTGAAAAAAAAAACAACAAAAGGAAACTCATTACTCTCATGTGCACACTGTGACCCTTGTTCTCCCTGTGCCTCCAGTGGGCCGGTTTGTGAAGTACACGGGCTACGGTAACGCGGCGGGCCTGCTGGCGGCAAGAGGTCTGATGCTCGGGGGGCCGCGGCCGGCCGGCTACTCGTCCGACTCTGACTCCGATACGGAGGAGTACGTCCGCTACCAGGACAGGTGAGTCATTACTCCAACACGGAGGAGTACGTCCGCTACCAGGACAGGTGAGTCGGGACTCCGACACGGAGGAGTACGTCCGCTACCAGGACAGGTGAGTCGGGACTCCGACACGGTACATGGACAGGTGAGTCATTACTCCGACACGGAGGAGTACGTCCGCTACCAGGACAGGTGAGTCGGGACTCAGATATTGCGCCAGGACAGGTGAGTCAGGACTCCGACACGGTACCGGACACTCAACTGGTGAGTCAGGACTCCGACACAGTATCGGACGCTGGTGAGTCGTGACTACGACATAGGGAGCGGCGAATCGTATAATATTGCGATTTAATTTCATTTACGGACGCAATCAGCGAGTGAGATCGAAGACGCTCATCGCTTTATTTCTTAGAGCCATTGAAAAGCCAGTCTTTCCAATGTTATTGATTGCCAAGTACGCTCGACCACCGTTTCGTAACCTTGCGGCCTGTAATATCGCATACGCTGGTTGGTCCTGACTCACCTACACAAGACATATTGATATCCCCTTGTATGTCTGCGACATGCCACTTACCTCCTCCCCCCCTTCCCCGCCGGTTCAACCCATGTCCCCGTGTCCGTCTCGTGTAACGTGTGCCACTCTGCCGCCGGTTCGACCCGTGTCCGTCTCGTGTAACGTGTGCCACTCTGCCGCCGGTTCGACCCATGTCCCCGTGTCCGTCTCGTGTAACGTGTGCCACTCCGCCGCCAGCATGGACCCGGTGACGGGCCGAGTGGAGCCGCCCCGGCCCGACCCGATGGCCGGCTACTCGGAGGAGCGTAAGATACACGAGGCTGAGAAACTGGTGACGCTCATCAACCAGTCCATCGAGTGAGTACCGGTAGGAGAGTTTGTTCGGGAATTTTCCGGATCACGAGATCAACGGACCGACATTCATTCTGCTTATGAGAGCTTGATAATTTGTATTTAATGATTTTATATGCTATATGATTTATGTTATAGTAAGGTTTCGGCTAAGTTCCATGCGTTTTCATGGCATGGATTTCATTGGCTGCGCCGTAAATTGGTAGAGAGCCGGAACAATAACATGCGGTAAGGAGGGAGATTGGTCACGGGCCAGGTTTGTTGTGTTGTAACGCGCCATGGCTAACCCGGCGCTCTCTGTGCGGCAGTAACGGTCTGATCCAGCCGTGTCGTGTCGGCGCCGACGGAAAGCCGCACCCCATCTCGCACGTGCTGGAGCTGCAGGAGGGCGCCGCCGCGGCCGCCACCGGCTCCTCGGCCGGAGCGGCGCGGCCTCAGACAGACAGTGACAGCGAGTAGCCGCGGCGGGCGGCGCACCCTCTGTGAGACCGGCCGGCCGCCGCCGCGGACCGGATAGACAATCGGACGGAGCTGCGGCGACCTGCCGCCCACCGTGCACACCTTGCCGGCTCGGCGTCCGCCTCCCGCCCCGTGGAACTGCGGTGTGCGCGTATCGCGAGCACGTGTAGCAGCGTGTAGGGACCGGACACCTCTGGTGGTCAGGTGTCTAGTGATTCGGCTGGGACGCTCACGGCACGGTCCACGCCAGACTGACGCTATGTCCACTGGGCCGGGTGCTAGGTGTGGCTGATAGCCTGCTGCTACGTGTGTGATGGATGAACCTTTGGCGACTGCCCGGACATTCGGCGACTGCCGCGACTGCCAGTGGAGCCGCCGAACCGCGGGGTGGCTCAGACGCGGCCGCCAGCACCGTCCCGGACCGATGGCACAGCTCACCTGGCTGCAGCTGCACTCTCCCGCCCGTCACCCTGCCAGACCCCTTCGCTTTCTTCGTGCGGCTTCGTACGGCGCTGCGGGCGGGCACAGTGGCTGCCCCGACTGAGCAGGAATGTATAGACTTCCCCGAGAGCGGACGGCCGTCGCTTTGAGACGGCAGGCGAAACCCCTGACTTGAGGGAGGTCGGTCACTGCCCTCTGTATATGATCTCTGGAATGGTATGGCCATGAATACGTGTAGCGGTATATCGGCGTGCATTGTGTTTATTAGCAATTTTACGTGTTTGTGTTGCATTAATCGTGTATTTGTATGTGTTTTACTATAGCCGTATGTGTCGCGCGGGTGCTATTACGGGTGTAGACTCCAGTGTCCCGGGAGGTGACCGGGACGCCGCGGGGACCCTCCGGTCCCGCCGGGTGCCGGGTTACTGCCCGCGGTAGCTGCTGCGATTGGAACGGAGGATGGCTCGGTGGCAGTCGATTGGACCTGTCGGTGCGGACTGCGGAGTCGTGTGGCACCGGCTACTCGACCTGGCTCCGTGCTTCCCACTACCGGCTTTTTACCCGCCACGGGCGGTATGTGATGCGTAATAATAAATAAACGGCCACGTATAGCCGGGGTGTGTTAAAAAATAGCTGTTAGCTACGTTCCGTGACTGACGCGGATGGACATGCGGTGAGTTTCCTTACCACATATCAGCCGGTGAATCCCCAGTGCAATTACAGATCATCTGAAGGCTACAAAACGTCGCCAACAATTATTATCCATTACCCAGGCCAGCATAAGTATATATTGACACTAACCGAAGATCCATCCGCGCACAATATTGCTTGGCTCTTATTGAGTGTTCTAAGAAACGTAAAACGCTAATCGTTGATTGGTAGACAGTCAACACGCGTTCAGCGCAATCGTAAAACGACGAATAGGATGTCAGTATTTTACGCTGCCAACGGAACTTTCTTTTCGGCGCATCTGTTTCAAACGTTGCTAAACAGAATTTGGGGTAACCCCACGTGGAGGGCTGGTTTGTGTTTACAATAGGGAAAAAATAGATGGTCAAGGTGTGACTGTGGTTAGGACGTGTTAAATCACGGTTGTATTGTGAAATGTCTGAAGATCTGAAAGAGTTAGAATGGCTGTCTAGTTAAAGGTTTGATATACATTTATTTCAATTTTCACATGATCTCAATCTGAGGTGCATCGCGGAATTCCTTGCCATTAATTAAAGGCCATTGTGAATTTTCATATTTGCCTCAAGTTCCCACAACAACTGATCAACTATGGGTGAAGATGACTTCCCAGACAGCAAGAAACGGCATACTAAAAGAGCTGCCGGTGAGTGGACTAGGTACTGTTTAGTCATTGTGATTGCGACTTCATGACTTTGAAAGCGTCTTGCAGCTATGGTATGGCACTTTCAGCTGAACGTATCAGCATATTTCTTGAAATGCTCTTTCAAAGTGTGTGTGAAAATTTTTGAAGACATTTTTTTTAAGACAGGGCGTTTAAGTTTTGAGAAGCTTCCTGCATTTAATTCTCAAATATTAATAAATATTTTGTGGTTTCTTGCAGCCTCGCTTGTGCACAACACCTCACCCACACACAACAGCTTGCCTGCACCCAGCAACTTTAATATCAGTGCCAAATTGTAGTATGCTGCACAACTTAAAAAACTGGCCACAACTTCCATGATCCAGCAGTCCATGTCGCTTGGACTATACCTCTAGTCTTCACTTTGTTTGTACCCCTACAGGCCGCAAAGCAGACAAGAAGAAGCAGAAGGAGCAGCACCAGCAGGAGCTGACAGCCAAGCAGCGCAACCCGAAGGCATTCGCCTTTCGATCTGCAGTTTCAGCTGCTCGCACCCTCCGACGGTATGTGCAAGGATTGAGCATTGATATGCTTTAACCTTAGCATTAAAAGACACACATTAGGAATGTGGATTGCTCTTAAATGTAAATACAATTCAAAATAATGCTATACGAGGCCTGAGCGATTTTGATTATTCAAATTTATCTGTGGGTACTTATAAGCCAGTGCTGTTTGTATTATTTTCAATTTTATTCATGACGAGCATAAATTTTCTGTAGTGGTCACTTTTCTCATGGCTTTTTGTGATTCTCTGACCTGCATGGGACACATTTATAATCTTTTTGGTGGACCTTCTTTCGGGCATCTGTGTGGTACACTGCTCCCATTACAACCTCCTGACTCGGCTGTGTTCCCGGCCCACTTACAGCTCTCAGGACATCAAGGAGCGGAAGACTCACATCCCGGTGATCGACCGGACGCCGCTCGAGCCGCCGCCAATCGTCATCGGCGTGGTCGGACCGCCCAAGGTCGGCAAGTCCACGCTCGTCCAGTGCCTCATCAAAAACTTCACCCGCAAGACACTGACCAACATCCAGGGACCGGTCACCATCGTTTCAGGTCAGAGTCAGTTGTGCTCTCTGCTGAGCTGGTAGACACATCGTGTCCTAAATTGCTGTTTTCACCTGCCTGTAGATTTTGGTTTGTGATTTTTTATCGTGGATAATGGATCGAAACAGAAACATATGTTTGATAAGGATGGAGACGCCAAAACGACCTTACTGACCAAAACGACCAGATGTCATACAAGTTCAGCCAATGTACTGCTTTTTTTTTGTCCTCCAGCCAAGAAGCGTCGACTGACGTTCATAGAATGCAACAACGACATCAACTGCATGATCGACCTGGCCAAGGTGGTGGACCTGGTGCTGCTGCTAGTGGACGCTTCGTTCGGCTTCGAAATGGAGACGTTCGAGTTCCTCAACATCTGCCAGGTGCGAGACCGAATAAAATTAACGTTCGGGCACTCCGTGCTCGCGAAACAAGTGCATGACATACAACATACAAGTACGGAATGCGTGGTGCTGAGCTGCGCTCAATGAATGAATGAATGAGATCATCCGTTCATTCACTCAATCATTCATTCATACATTCATTCATGTGTTTTGGAAACGTTCGTGACACGGTGGCTGACCTATTCCTTTTCGTATGCCGTTTTCAGGTGCACGGTTTTCCCCGTGTCATGTGGCTGGTGACTGACCTATTCCTATTTCCTTCCCATATGCCGTTTTCAGGTGCACGGTTTTCCCCGCGTCATGGGCTGGTGGCTGACCTATTCCTTCCCATATGCCGTTTTCAGGTGCACGGTTTTCCCCGCGTCATGGGCTGCTGACTGACCTATTCCTTTTCGTATGCCGTTTTCAGGTGCACGGTTTTCCCCGCGTCATGGGCGTCCTTACCCACCTTGACATGTTCAAAGACGTGAAGAAGATGCGGAAGACGAAGAAGACGCTCAAGCACCGCTTCTGGACCGACGTTTACCCGGGAGCGAAGCTGTTCTATCTCTCAGGTAAGAGCGCGCTGACTATTAGCTTCACGCAACGTGCATCGTTTTTTTTTTTTTGTTACTAGATACATTCTTTTCTTGCCGCTTTGGTAGGAAACAACACTAGCTCAGAACTACAATTATGAGAGGCAATTTAGTATCGTGGACCCAGCTACACGTCGATATGGGACAGGATGACGAGTGTCTTTGTTCTGCGTGTTTTGTGACTGACGTTATTTCACGGTGCTAAGAGTGACGCTGCTCGGTACGCTGCCAGGTATGGTGCACGGCGACTACCAGAGAATGGAGGTCCACAACCTGGGACGCTTCATCTCCGTCATGAAGTTTCGGCCGCTGACCTGGAAACAGGCGCATCCCTACATCCTAGGTACGTCTTCCGAGGCGGAGAGAGAGTCCGTGAGAGAGATCCGCTGACTTATCCAGGTCTCACTTCATCTGCAGTTGTCGTTTCTCGATGTATCTGAGCTGCGTATGATCCTGCTCGGCATCCCGTGTTACCCCGCTGGCTGACCCGTCACGCTGTGTTCCGTCGTCAGCTGACCGGATGGAGGACCTCACCCCTGCCGAGGAGGTGCGGCAGAACCCAAAGTGTGACCGCCGCATCAGTCTGTACGGCTACGTGCGCGGCGTGCCGCTCAAGCCAGACGCGCCCATCCACATACCCGGTACGTGAAATGTGTGATGACATTGGATAGCCTGGCGGCGGGTGGGCATTGCAGCTCGATTTACCATCGTCCTCGAGCTGCCGTATAACGCATTGCCCCTAAAATGAAGCGTTCCTCCGCTGACCAGCCTCCCTGCGGGACGGGTTCTCCTCCCCCAGGTGCCGGCGATTTCCGTGTGGCGGCGCTGGACTTCCTGCCCGACCCGTGCCCGCTGCCCGAGCGCTCCACAAAGTCGCGCCGCTCGCTCACCGAGCGAGACAAGAGCATGTACGCGCCCATGTCGGGCGTGGGAGGCATAGTCTACGACAAGGACGCCGTTTACATCGAGCTCGGAGGCAGCCACTCGCACTCCAAAAAGGTAGGGCGACGCCGGAATCGGAGAGCACCGTCATGAGATGTGAATTAGATGGTTGTAGTGAAAAATTCGCCACGTATGTTTTTACTGTCGTTCTTTTGCATGTTGATAAGTGAACTGGTCTGGCCGGCGACTGCCGTTCCCCCTGTGCTTGGTCCGTCATGAACCGGTGCGCCGTCCCCTCTTCAGCCGCCGGCGGACGTCTCGGCTGACCCTGCCGGCGCCGGGGCTGACGGCCGGGAGGAACACGAGGACGAGGAGGAGGACGAGGACAAGCAGCTGGTCAGCTCGCTGATGACGTCACAGCACACCATCGATCAGAAGATGGAGGAGGCGCAGCTGCGGCTGTTCTCCGGCCAGCAGCCCATCTCATCGCAGGACGCCGCCATGTGAGTAACCAGGGGATGTGGGAGGGGGGGGGGGGGGGCAGCTGCAGCTGTTCTCCGGGCAGCAGCCCATCTCATCGCAGGATGCCGCCATGTGAGTAACCAGGGTGACTGTTACATAAGGCGCAGCTGCAGCTGTTCTCCGGCCAGCAGCCCATCTCGTCACAGGACGCCGCCATGTGAGTAACCAGGGTGACAGGGGCGGATCCAGAAAATCTCCAAGGGAGGGGCCATTAGAAACCAGGAGGCCCCCCCCATAATCCCACCTGTTGGAGGCCCCATCTTCCCACTTGTTGCCCCCCCCCCCAAAAAAAAACTGCGTCTATTGAGCTTATCTAGCTGTTCAGGCAACATCTCAACATCTGTGCAGGCTTGGAGGCCCCCTGTGCAGGTTAGGAGGCCCTGTAAAAGTGGTCATCTCTGTGAGTATAAGAGACCTCCAAGTTATGAAAAGCTTTACCAATCTTCTAACAAAGAAGTCTTCTCAGCTAGTCTTCTAAGAAATAACTAAGTGGGTAGGTTAAAAAAAAAACTCATCGGATTTCGGCCACTTTATTTTCAGGAGGCCCCCTTTTCAGCTTTTCAACTTTTTAACTTTTTATTTTATTTTTGAAAAAAAAATCGGCCAAGGGGGGGGGGGCATGGCCCCCATGGCCCCCCCCCCTTGTATCCGCGCCTGGTGACTGTTACATAAGGCGCAGCTGCAGCTGTTCTCCGGCCAGCAGCCCATCTCATCGCAGGATGCCGCCATGTGAGTAACCAGGGTGACTGTTACATAAGGCGCAGCTGCAGCTGTTCTCCGGCCAGCAGCCCATCTCGTCACAGGACGCCGCCATGTGAGTAACCAGGGGGAATTCTTCTCAAGTGGGGCAGCTTTGTTTAGGAAGTTCCCGACTCCAGTGCCAGATGTGGCTACTGCTATTATTAGTTTCGCCGCTAACTCCCTATCCGTCTGTCTCTGGCCAGGAAACTACATTACGAGACTGTCTCAGAGAACGACGGTCGTAAGCGGCGGCGGGTCCTCTTTGACGACGCCGAGGACGGCCAGGAGGACGGCGAGGAGGGAGAGGAAGGTGCCGAGGAGGACGGAGAGAGCGCAGAGGAGGACGGAGGGGAGAGTGATAAGGACGAAGGAGAGAGCGAGGAGGACGGAGAGGACGAGGACGGTGACGTGTCGATGGAGGAGGACGCAGAGGAGGCAGAGTCGAGTCTCCTCTCTGTGCCGGCCCGCTCCTCCGCCGGACGTTCCTCCGCCGGCCGGGAGGACTCTGAGGAGGACAGTGACGAGGAGTCTGAGGACGAGGAGGCCGCGCCGCTGAAACCCACGGCGCCCGTACCGCGGCAGAACGCCCGCCAGCTGCACCGACTCATCTACGGCGCCGGTGAGTGACGGCCGACGGGGCCAGAGTGCGGCTCAACGGATGTAGCAGATGTGCCCCTTTGTAATGAGTAGCTTCTCTGACTTCTCTCTGACCTCCACCTGATTCTTGTATGATGGCTAGTTGCCCCCTAGCCGACCCCTGTCTGACCTGTCCGCCCTGAAACCGGGCTCTCTGAACCCTGTCTGGCCTATCTGAGCTCTCACTGATCTCTATCTGACCGCCATTTGTTCCCTATCTAACCCCTCTGACCCTTATTTGACTCTCTCTGGCCCTTTTCTGCCTCAGAGCCCGGCTCGTCTGACGGCGCGGAGCCGGAGGGTGACACCGAGGACCAGGAGGTGGGCGGTCTGTTCCGAGTGGTGCGGGCTGAACAGCGGGACCGCAGCGGCCGGGACGAGGTGGACCGCACGCTGCCGGCGGCCGGCGCCGCCAACCTGCGAGACTGGACCACGGAGGAGGTGAGCTGCCGGGGCGAACGATGGGAGCGGTAGACAATCGGCCGGGAGATAACAGTGTTCAGAATGTTCGTGTTCAGTATGTTCATGTTCAGTACCTATGTTCATGTCCTCGCTGCCCACTGTCCTCGGCTGTCCCCTACAGAATGTCTTTAAAATATTCTACACTTTCAATATCTCTACAGACCGTATAGCCGCTAACCGTCTAGTCTCTTCTCACAGGGCCGGGGCTGTATCGCCGACTGTTTCGTCACCGGGGAGTGGAAGGAGAGCGAGAACTCACCGTATAATTGTTACTGTAATACATATTAGGTCGTTCAATAAGTAACGAACAATCGGTCATAACTTCTTTATTTCTTTATTTAACACTTTAAAACTTTCACAGATTATAGATCAAATGTTTCTGAATGTAGCCTTTGCCTCAAACCAGTCGCCGCCCGCCTGCACACACTTCTCCCAGCGTTCCGGCCAACGCCGGAATTCCGCCCGGAAAAACGCGTTTTCCGTCTTTTTCACCCAGTTCTTGACAGCGCACCTGACTTCAGCGTCGGTCTCGAAGTGTTCACCACGGAGGCCATCCTTCAGGGGACCAAAGAGGTGAAAATCTGAAGGAGCCAGGTTCGGACTGTAGGGCGGCTGGGACATGATATTCAGCCCTGGCTCGCGATCTCCTCGCGTGTGGCGTGAGACATGTGCGGACGAGCGTTGTCATGGTGTCATCCTGGTGGGCTTTCTTGAACCTGGGCGGACTATGGACAGCGGGCCGCTACATCACAGTCCTGCAGGAGACTGAGAAAAGCAATCCTGAAGAAGAGGCGCGGCTCGGATGTCAACATCACCATACACCATGACAACGCCCGACCGCACGGCACTTGTCTCACGTCACGCGCGAGGAGATCGCGTGACAGGGCTGAATATCATGCCCCAGCCGCCCTACAGTCCGGACCTGGCTCCTTCAGATTTTCACCTCTTTGGTCCCCTAAAGGATGGCCTCCATGGTGAACACTTCGAGACCGACGCTGAAGTCATGTGCGTTGTCATGAACTGGGTGAAAAAGACGGAAAACACGTTTTTCCGGGCGGAATTCCGGCGTTGGCCGGAACGCTGGGAGAAGTGTGTGCAGGCGGGCGGCGACTGGTTTGAGGCATAGGCTGCATTCAGAAATGTCTGATCTATAATCTGTGAAAGTTTGAAAGTGTTAAATAAAGAAATAAAGAAGTTATGACCGATTGTCGTTACTTATTGAACGACCTAATATAACTGTCTCTGTATGCTCAGGGCCGGGGCTGTATCGCCGACTGTTTCGTCACCGGGGAGTGGAAGGAGAGTGAGAACGCCTCCACGCTGCTGGCCATGGACGACGACGGCCTGGACTCTGACGAGCTGGACGGCGACTTTGAGGACATGGAGACGGGCGAGAAGCACCAGGGCACCGCCGGCGCCGCCGCCGAGGCAGAGGACGGGGAGGGGGAGGAGGGAGACGACGAGATGCCCGTTCACAAAGGTGAGGAGTGTGAACTGGGGTAGGGCGCGCTGAATGCGTGGGTGTGGTGTGACGTATGGTTTGCTGTGTCAGTTTGGTAGTTCAATATCTGCTTGCGTTAAATTAATCGAGATTTCCTCTTTAGTCTTTACTCTCAATATGAAGTGTGCACTTTTGTCATATTGCGACGTATGAATAGTGCACACACTGTGTTCTGCTCTTTTTGTTGTGTTGTTACTGGAAACCACTGTTGCTCGCTGCAGAAAAGGAACAGCTGACACGGAAGCAGATCATCGAGAAGAAGAAGAAGCTGAAGGCCATGTTTGACGCCGAGTATGACGACAAGGAGGGCTCCAGTTTCTATGACGACCTCAAACGGGACCTCGACCAGCAGGCTCAGGTGCGTACACTTCAGAGTACAGGCTTAGCACGTACGAGGAGTAAGAATAGCTACTGTAGTAGTGGACAACTTTCGTGTAGTTTGAATTATTTTTGGTGAGAAGGTTTCAACTACAAGTGGCTCTCCCATTGAACTGGCTTGGATCCGTCAGCTGATGTTGCCTAGATACAGGCAGGCTGTTTTCGAAAACGCTTTCTAGTGCCTTCTACCGCTGCCATTCAGAGACTCCGTTGAACACTGCGCTCGTCCCTCTCCGCAGCTGAACCGGAGCGAGTTTGACGGTGTGGAGGACGAGCTGCGTGTCCAGTTCGAGGGCTACCGGCCCGGTATGTACGTCCGACTGGAGGTGGCCGCCGTGCCGTGCGAGCTGGTCGCCCATTTCGACCCGACCTACCCGCTGATCGTGGGCGGCCTCACCACCGGCGAGGAGAACATCGGATACGTGCAGGTACGGAAACTCAGTGCACTGCTGCACTGAGTGTTGGGAGACGCATAGACTACTCGTATGTGTGGCTTTATCGTCTATCTGTTTTCCCCGTCTCCCAAATTTTCTCTTGTTGGTACTTTCTATATTTTCCTCTCTTATTTGCCTTTGTCTGTTTTTGTCTGCGTTTTGCTCACTCACCTCTGGCCCCCTGCCACGGCTCCAATGTGTTTGTTTGTTTATGTGTTATACATATCCACATCAGCTGACGTGTGCCCCGTTTGTTGGCAGGCGCGGATAAAGCGACACCGCTGGTACGGCCGTACGCTGAAGACTCGTGACCCGCTGATCGTGTCTTTGGGCTGGCGCCGCTTCCAGACGCTGCCGCTGTACTCGATACAGGACCACAACGGACGAAACAGGTCGGTCTCAGAGACTGAGAGGTGATAATCCTTGATTAAGAATCCCGATGGCCAAAGTTGCAGGCCTGTATCCGTCCCTGAGCAATGTCCCAAAATTTGTCGATTTGGGTGAGAAACGGCATCCAAGTGAAATTCATTTTCCACTCTCACCACCAATTTTTAGGAACAATTTTCCACTCCCAACCAAGAAAACCTAGATTTTTTACCTACCTATAGAAAGAGCAGTTGTGTGCAGGATGGCCAGTTTAGCATCAAGCATCCTAATTCCTACACCTTAGAATAAAATGCATGCTTTTTGTCGTTTTTCACTCTTTTTGGATCTAATTGCGAGTAAATTTGTAATTAATATTTTGTAATTAATTTTGGAACCTTTTGCATTTCGCAATCATTGAACATAAGGTTATATTTGAAAACATATATACTTTTTGGATCTAATCGAATCAGCAGTTTTTCGCTCTCTCCCCTCTTTTTGGTGGGTAATTTTCCCTCTTACGCCCAAGATAAAACTCAATTTTGGGACACTGTCCCTGAGAGCTACAAAGTAGCCTGTGTTTCAAAAGTGAAACAGCCGAAATATTTTTTGCTATCTGTGTTATGGCTCTTTCCGTTAATTTTTGCCGCTACGTGTCCTTGTGCCGTTTACGTAATTAAGTAGAAAATATTATATCGGACTATTTTGCCCGACCTGACCCCTCACGCGCCGCCCGTCCGTCGCCGTCAGGCTGCTCAAGTACACGCCGGACCACCTGCACTGCACGGCGCACTTCTGGGGCCCGGTGACGCCGCAGGGCACCGGGCTGCTGGCCCTCCAGAGCGTCAGCGCCGCCACGGCGGCCTTCCGCGTGGCCGCCACCGGTACCGTGCTGGACCTCGACAAGTCCGCACAGGTGGTGAAGAAACTCAAACTGGTCGGCACGCCGCACAAGGTCATGAAGAAGACTGCTTTCATTCAGGTGAGCGGCAGTCAGGGACAGACTAAGTGGGGGAGGGGATGAAGATTTTGATACTTTACAGAGTTGTGTCATAGTGGGTGGCTACTGGCTAGGTGGTTTGCTAGAGGGCTTTGGAAACGATTGCAGTTAATATTGGTGCTGCCAGCACGTATAATTTTTGATTCATCGTTGTTTTTTATACTTCCTTAAAAAATTACATCGTTTGGCTCGCTGTGTCACAGGACTGACCGTTTTGTCCCGTTCTCAGGGTATGTTTACGTCCACGCTGGAGGCGGCCAAGTTTGAGGGCGCGCTGTGCCGCACCGTCTCCGGGGTGCGCGGACAGCTCAAGAAGGCGCTGACGGCCAAGCCGGCCGGCCTGGTGCGCGCCACCTTCGAGGACCACATCAAGATGAGTGACGTGGTGTTCGTGCGCACGTGGTACCCGATGGAGGTGGCGCGCCTGTACGCGCCCGTCACCTCGCTGCTGCTGCCGCCGGCAGAGAAGGCCCGCTGGCAGGGCATGAAGACGGTGGGACAGCTGAAACGGGAGCGCGGCATTCGGGTGGAGCCCAACCCCGACCAGCTGTACACGGTCAGTATCCCGACCCGTGTCACACCAAATCAATCGATCCAACTGTCCGTACATAGCACTCAGCTGATTGCCCGTGCTATGTAGGAATGCTGCCAACGGCATATGCCGCCACCGACTCTTGATGATCCAGCGACCAGAGGTATCGTTAGCCAATGTCGATGGAGCATCATGGCCATGTCTTCATCGTAAAGTACCTTATGTTACCCTACGCGAAAAACGTACTTTTGGGATTCGATAGCATCCATCACCACAAGCAGTGTATGCCGTCGACTCGCTAAATGTGTTGCCTGCAATAGTATTGTGAGCCAAATGGTACCACGAGGGATACTGGACTGGTACTACCGCTTCTGTACCCTGCCGTTTGACGAGTCCCCGTCCCCTCTGACCGCTCCCGGCCCGTCTCCGCAGCCTGTGGAGCGGAAGGCGCGCCAGCCGCGGCCGCTGAAGGTGCCGGCCGCCCTGCAGCGGCAGCTTCCGTACGCCGAGCGGGCCAAACTGGGCGCCACAGAAGGCAACACTCTGGGCGGGCCGAGCCAGCCGAGGGAGCGGGTCGCCGTGGTGCTGCAGCCCAGAGAACAGAAGGTAAGCAGCCGACACAGCACAGACAGTTTTCAGATACCGCACCAGGGCCTCGTTTCATAAAGCGAGTCCGTAACTTACGGCGGTTTTTGATCTTGTATTGCAAGCGCATGTGAAGCGATGACGATAGTTTGAATCGTTGAATTTATTTAGCTTGCAAGCAAGAACAGAGGAGAGAAGGGAAATAAATTTATCATTTCACATGCGCTTGCAATACAAGTCCAAAAACCGGCGTAAGTTACGGACTCGCTTTATGAAACGAGTCCCAGGTCACCTCGCATTGATCATTTTGCAACACGGCCACTTTGTGATCTGTTATGGCTGCAGTCTGTCGTCTGTGCCGGGCTGCACAAATGATTGTGGCGTGGTCGCTTCACTGGCGTTAATTAACGTTCGCCGTGGCTGTTTTTGTTGTGTTATCAAAGCGTTCCATTAGTTGTGCGTGCATCTGTAGTCTGCCTCAGCTGTCAGTCACTGAGTCCTTCGTACGGGATTATCCAATGGCCGGGCCGCTATCTGTTTTTGCCTGTTCAGCGGTTATTTCGGTTCGGAGGCCAAACAATCGGCCAGAGCGCATGCACGTGTTTACTCCATGTGTGTGTGTGTTTGGCCTCTGCCCTCCCCGCGACTCTCGACCTTGCCGACCTGTGACGACTCGCTGACCTTTGTGACCCGCTTACCCTCTGACCTGCGATTCCCCCTCTGACTTGCGATTACCCCTCTGACCTGCAATTTCTCCCTCCCCTCCGCAGGTGATGAAGATGCTGAACACGCTGCGGGCCACCTACGACGTACAGCAGCAGAAGCGGCGCGGACTGGCGCAGGACCGAGCCAAGAAGATGGTCGAAAAACGAAAGGAGGACATCGAGCGCTTCGAGAAGCGCCAGAAGCGAGTCCGGAAACACGTCTACAAGATGCTGGCTCTGAACGCCGGCGGCGGGAAGCGTGGGGGAGGAGGCGGTGGCGGCGGCGGCGGTGCGGGACGGTAGCGGCGACCGGCTGCTGCAGAGGACAGATTCCGCCACACCAGGTGCTGTCTGCTCTGACACAGAGTTATACGGGCGGGGGGCTAGCTATTGTATTGTTGATGTGTTTTGTAATACATGTGCCTGACTGTATAGCACTGGCTTTGTAGATTAGTGTTGGCTTACTTTTTTATCCTAGCGACTCTGTCTGCTTGCTGTTCAAGATTCACCTTTAAGTTATGACAGTCGGACTGCAATAAGTGTTACAACTATTCGCTTCTGCTTCTCCGGGTCAGTTGAGGCTGATACGACTACGGCCGTCACACAGCCTTCACAATGTGCTGTGAAGGCTGTCCCGGGGTCCAGTCAGGGTCACGCCGGGTCGGTCCGGGCCGACCCGGTCGCCGCTCCAGCTCCTGGAGCCAGGGCCGTGGCGGGGCGGGGCGCGACCTCGGCCGGCCACCGGTCGTGACCACTCTCGGCACGCGGCGTCCCGTGTGAGTGCGCGCCGCTTTCCGCCTGTCAGGCGTTCCGCGCCGACCGGCCGGCCGCCCGCTGCTGCCGGCTGACCTCAGCTAGTTATCGGCGCAGTTATCCGCCTGTCTGACGGAATTATGTGATTTGGTATACGTTCAGTTCGGTCGGCTCATGCTTCGCAGTCTCCGTGGGCTTCACATTTAAACCCAACGAGAATTGAAACATATTTAAACATATTTAAACCCAGCAAGTGGTCGCGCTGGGTTCCGTTGTTCCATTGCCAGGACCAGGAACCACTTATAAATTCCAGGAGGAAAATGATACTCTTTCCCACGTGAACGACAAGCCATAAAAATTATCGTATGGTATCTTGGCTCTCGCATATGGTGGTACGAGACATTGCAAGATTAACAGATTTCTAGTACCGTATGGAGCGAGCCTGCATCCGATACTATCTTTCTGCCTTCAGACGCATAGGAGCAAGTTTCAGTACTTCCTCGCTGTAGCTGTAGCCTGAGCTTTTATAACATGTGGACACTACCCCTTGCAGCTGACTGTCGTTTGCGGTCAGGAACGACAGACCTCATTCTCTCATTCATAATCACGTCATCGGTAAAAAATGTCCTTAGCGGGCCATTCTTGTCAGCGTGCCGAGCCAATATGCCCGAAATGTCACTTTCCAGAGCTGCAGAGTTGCCCTGCATTGATCCGCGGTAGTGGTTCCGCACGACTGCAGATTATCTTCCATCACAAAAACAGGGAAAGGGTGGAGTCGGTCGCACTGTCCTTGGACACGGAGATTGGTGAAGGGTCTCCGGCGCCAACGAGTCGTGAGTCATGCAGCACCCGACTCTCTGGGAGACTGACAGCGCCGATTTCCCGCCTGTGCCGGCGGAGGCTGGCTGCAGCTTTGTCCGCGCCGGGCCCTAGCTGTACCGTGTCCGCGCCGTCTGCGCGACGGCCGACCTCTCCAGCCCCGAATCTCGCGGCGGGCCGGAGCCGGAGCGCGGCCCGTGCACAGGGCGGGGCCGGGCTATATAGCCGGCGCACACACTGGGGCCCGGTGCAGTCGGTGAGACCGCCCGAGGCAGCAGCACACCAGCTGGACGCCATGGAGATTTTGGTGAGTGGATAGTGATAATATGGTTTTTATAGAGCACCGGCCGCGGGGGAGTCTGGGATCCTCACCCAGGGATAAGTTAAATATTCATGGGAATTGTAAGATTAATATGTCATTCATTTGGAGCTTTGAACCATTTCAAAGGCTTTTTGTATTAGTTTGCTTCGACAATAAAGTCTTCTGTCTTTGGGTGTCCGGACTCTGTCCGCTGTGCGGAGCTGTCGGTCTGTTGTGCTCACTGACTCAGTTTCCGCAGGTGATCGCGCTGGTGGCGCTGCTCGGCACCGCTGCCGGCCAGCAGCAGCAGTACGACCCGTACCGGGGTACGGAGCAGTTCAGCGGCACACCCCTGTACCGCGGGCCGGGCCAGGCCTCCCGTCCGGCGGCGCTGCGGCAGGCGGGGCCCTCCCAGTCGACGGCCGCCTCCCAGTTCTCCGGGTCCGCCTCACAGGGACCCCGACAGGGCCCCGTCGGAGGCCCCGCTCCGCTGGACGCCGTGCAAAAGGCCACAGAGGAATTTAACAGGTGAGCACAACCACAAACAAGTCTCTAATGCATGTCCACTAAGCGATACGAATCAAAAACAAAATCCTGCACACCTGATTATTTTAAACGAGCACAAACTGATATACGCTGCTTTGGATTTTTTCTGCAAGCGTCTGGTCTTGCTGATTAATTCTGTCTGTTTCCATCGCAGGCTGTACAAGGAGGCGGCCGAGCGCGCTGCCGCCGCCCCGGACGATCCTAACGCGCTCGGATCGCACCAGCCTCAGCGAAATTCCTTCCAGCAGCCCCAGCGCGGCTCCTTCCAGCAGCAGCAGCAGCCGGGTCAGTTCCAGGAGCAGCCGTTCGGCGGCCTACAGCAGCCACACCCCAGTGGGTTCCAGCAGCAGCAGTTCCCGCCCTCGGGCCCGTCCCTTGCCGGGCGGGCGCCGTTCCCCGGGCCAGGTCAGCCGTTCCCAGGGCCAGGTCAGCCGTTCCCCGGCCCTAACCAGCCTTTCCCCGGCTCTGGCCCAGCGTTCCCCGGCGCTCGCCAGCCGTTCCCGGCGTCTGGCCCGTCCTTCCCCGTCTCGGGCCCGTCCTTCTCCGGCCCTAGTAAGCCGTTCCCTGGCCCCAACCAGCCGCTCCTTGGTGGTCGCCAGCCGTTCCCTGGTGGTCGCCAGCCGTTCCCTGGCTCGGGGCCTTCGTTCCCCGTTGCCGGCCCGTCTTTCCCCGGCTCCGGCCCGTTTTTCGGCGGCCCTCAGGGCGGCGGACCTCAGTCGTTTGGCGGACCCCAATTCGGCGGACCCCAGGCGGGAGGTCGGCCCCAGTTCGGCGGACCCCAGGCGGGAGGTCGGCCGTCGGCCGGCCGTTTGTCTGCCGCCGCGGCCGGTCCGGTGAGCGGCCCCCCGCAGCCCGTACAGGACACCCCAGAGGTGGCCGCTGCCAAGAAGGCCTTCTTCGAGGAGTTCCGCAAACGAGCCAAGCAGGCGGCGGACGCGCCCGACAACCAGCAGCTGCATCAGCAGCAGGGGCAGCAGCGGCAGCCCAGCTTCTCGCACTCGGGAGGCCGATTTTAGAGCCACTCATTCGCCGTCTGTCCCATCACCATAAGAAATGTGAGACGAGTGCATGCGAGATATTTGTGAAATGACTGCGAACTTTGAATACCATGATTGTACTTGCATTTCGCTAGTCATAGTGCGAATAATTGTCGATGTGTAAACATTCAAAAGGATGTATGCGTACTGCTTAGGAACGGAATGAATGCGTCATACCTCTTAGCTAAACGGGTCTTTGGGGAGCCAAGTGAAACCGTTGTGGATACCGTCCGACTTAAGTTGACCCAGTAAAATGCAGCTTGCTCGACTTAGCAAGGTCTTAATTTTGGGTGCTTACTTTGTTGGTGTCTTGGGGATGGATCTGAGCACGATTATGATTGCCATAGCCATCGTCCAAGATATAATATCGCATGTCCCGCAAAGAAAACACGAAAATTAATAAACCATTTATTTTATAAATAGGCATTTCCGTTAGTTGTTGGAGAAGATTGCGACTGCGAAGCATTAATAAAAACTAACAGCTAAGGCAAGAAGCATGTCACTCACGCAAAGAATGTTCGAGGTCTGGTCACTCCACTGGTCTGGCGAAGTCCTACCTAACGCGTAATGGGTCACCTAGTACGGGGCGTAGTACACAGAATCATCATCGTCGTACGAGTGGACGACGGTGACGGTCGGCTGCTGTACGTGCGCTGGCCTCTGCTGTACGTGTACAGCATGCTGCTGCACGTGCGTCGGCTGCTGCTGTACGTGCGCCGACAGCCGCTGCACGTGCGCCGCCTGCTGTTTTGCATGCTCCGCCAGCTGCCGCTTGTGCTCCGCCAGGTGCTGCGCGTGCGTCGATTGGTGCTGCACGTGCGTCGGCTGCTGCTGCACGTGCTGAGAGGCGAAGATCTGTTGATCGTCGGGAGCGGCCGCGGCCTCTTTGTACAGCCTGTGGGGCAGAAAGGGATCCTTACAGTGAGAAACCAAAATAGTCCGTATGGGATGGCGAACTTTGTAACGACGTGACGTGCCACGTCAAGTTTAACAGACACTCCTTCAGTAATCATAAATCATTGTCATGGGATCTGAGTGGGTGATTTGCGGTGTTTTCCGGTATTGCTCACCTGTGGAACTGTTGGGTGGCCTTCTGGACGGCGTCGGCGGGCGCGGGTCCGCCTACAGGCCGCCGGGTGGTCTTTGGTCCGCTGTGGTACTGGACCGTAGGCTGGTGGTGGTACTGTACCGACTGGTAGCTCTGATTGTCATCGGGCGCAGCGGCAGCGCGGGCAGCCGCCTCCTTGTACAGTCTGGAAAAAGTCGCTGACAGTTAGGCAGATGAACTGGATAACCCTGATGGAAATTACTTGTAATGCTTGAGACGAGGACGTACGTTCATAATGATAAATTGTTATTACGGTTGTTAGTATTCGAACATTCGCTCGCTTCTTGGAGTTATCACTTATCAACACAGTGATCGAAGCCGGATGAAACCCGTTATTTTGACGAGAAGTTCCTATTGTGAATTAAAATGAAATCGGACTTACTCCACAAGAGTTCGTTGGGTCGGAGCTTTCGAATTGTATTACAATTCTTCGTCAGCGAGAGTCGTATCGGATGTTAAGATCGAATCGAAGGTACAGTGCGGATCGAACAAAATATGGGTCGGACAGGAGGGTCTCTGAGGCAACCGGCGGGTCTCCGACCCAACGAACTCTTGTGGAGTAAGTCCGATTTCATTTTAATTCACTATTCATCTCCACATCATGTCTTTAAATGTAGTTCCTATTGTTTTAGCACTTTCTACCTGTGGAACTGTTGGGTGGCCTTCTGGACGGCGTCGGCGGGCGCCGGCCCCCCTACGGGCCGCCGGGTGGTCTTTGGTGCGCTGTAGTGCTGTACGGCCGGCTGGTGGTGGTACTGTACCGCTGGCTGGTGGTAGTGCTGCGTATACTGGCCATCGTCGTCGGCAGTCACTCCGACCAGAGCCACCGCCAGCACCACCGTCAGCGACACCTGTGGGTGGGTACCGGAGGGAGGTGGGAGTCAGTGACGTGGGGAGGTCAGCACCACTTACAGCGACACCTGTGGGTACCGCCGCAGGGGAGTCAGTGACGGGGGGAGGTCAGTACCACTTCCAGCGACACCTACGTACCGCGGGCCACAGGGGAGTCAGTGACGTGGGGAGGTCAGCACCACCGTCAGCGCCACCTGTAGGTACCGCCGCAGGGGGGAGTCAGTGACGGGGGGAGGTCGGCACCACTTACAGCGACACCTACGGGTACCGCGGGCCACAGGGGAGTCAGTGACGTGGGGAGGTCAGCACCACCGTCAGCGCCACCTGTGGGTACCGCCGCAGGGGGGAGTCAGTGACGGGGGGAGGTCAGCACTCGTCAGCGCCACCTGTGGGTACCGCCGCAGGGGGAGTCAGTGACGGGGGGGAGGTCGGCACCACTTACAGCGACACCTACGGGTACCGCGGGCCATCACTGGTCACTGGTCAGTGTATGTACCAGCGGGGTACCGCAGGGGTCAGTGTTCACTGGTCAGTAGGGTGTCCCAAAAAAACTTTTTTGTTAATTTTTGACCGGCTGAAGGCTGCCCCCATTCCACTTGGCTGGGATATGATGCTGACAAAATTTCAAGTGAATCCGAGTACGTTTAGAGGTTGCGAGCAAATGAACATTTTTATCTCTTCTTAGGTGCATTTTAACATGGCTACCAGGATCGCATGCATAGCATGATTTAGACGGGGCAGAATCGTTCGCACTTTTTCCCTCCAGTCGTTTCAGCTGTTTCCTTGGCGGTTTCCGGAGGTTGGCCACAATTTTCATCTTCAAACTGTCCGCAAGGCGACCATCGACGAGCATCATTCCAGAAACCATCGTTAGGCTCCTGATGGTGCCTGAAGTCGCGGGCAAAGGCCGCGACCACTTCCCTTCTCTGCAGCTGCGTCTCGGTCGCATCTTTGTTGCCGGTTAACTTAAGATGAAGATCGTCCAGGCACATAATCAGGATATGGTCAGGTGTGTCGTCTCCTTGCAAACGGCGCACCTCACCGCTGAGTACCGCAGGTCGGGTCACCCTGGGCACTGGGCAGGTCCGCGCCGGGAGGCGGCGGATCCGGTGGATGTACTGGTACGACATACCTACTGCAGTATCCAGCACGTAATTGATGCCGATAGGCATCTACCGCCTAGCCCTTGCTTACGCCAGAGACTGAGGTGGAGGTCGGCATCCGGTCTCCCCAGATCCTCCTGAAGAAGGAGTCTGGCCATGTCATGCGTCAAGCAGTTGCAGCCGCCCCTGCTCCGGCACTTGTGATGGCCTTTGCTTCTGCCGGCACCTCCTGCGGGAAGCCGGCTGCTTCTCTGACCAGCTCGTCGTCCCTCTTACGGTCCTACTGCCTAGGCTGAGACGGAATATGACGATCTCCAATTGCCGCCATGTTGAAGCAGCATTGGCATTCCTCTCGAAGACTTTGTAACCTCCTGGTCCATCCATGTTCCTGCTGACGACTCTGGTGGTGGACCCAGGTTTCATCGCGAAATAAACCAAGGAGTTTAAGGAAGGACGACGCAGCCTATCACATGGTCAGCCATAGAGCAAGGGCTCTTAATATCGTCAATGATGCCGCCGAACGGGGAATCTCGCTTATCTAGCGGTACAACACCACCACCAAGTTAGAAGAGCAGAAGCAGTACCTGCTTCAGCTAGTGCATCACCATCAGCAGGCGCAGCCCAAGAAAATCAAGGATGGATAGACAAAGAAAGTGTTTCATAGATAGTGCAGTGCTACCTTCTGCTGTAAAATTGTCTAAATACCCTGATTTGTCATGCTTGTTCAATCGGTACATACCTACACATATTATGGAATGGGGTTTGCTCAGTCAGTTAAAAAGTGCACAAGCTCGCAACCTCTAAATGTGATCTGATTCCTCTGAAACTCGACCAGTGTCTTCCTTACCGGTAGTGGAACCGGGGCAAACTTCAGCCCCTTGAATGTTTCATAGTTTTGTTTTTCCCATGTATGCTTGGGACACCCTACTGGTCAGTGATGCTTCGGTCAGTGGTCACTCCCGGGAACATCACGGGTGGCCGGGGACACTCGAGCTGGGTTCATGTCAAGAAGTGCACTTATGGTTATCATTACACCGCCACATTTTGACGTGACGGGCCAATTGGAAAGGAATCCAATAAGATGGGACGTGGCCGGTGAAAGAACGGGACAGATGGAACAAATGGACCGGGAAGGGACGGGATAACAGCGCCTGGGGCCGTCAGTGTTCGCTCACCTGAAGCCGATTCATGATCCCAGAGAACTGTATCCACCGCCGAGTCCGTCCACCCGCCGCTCACACCGCACACAGCCTGGGTATGTCCGTCGGCGGCTTATATAGCGGCGCTGGATCCACCTCGGCAGTGCCTGGCACCTCCCGTCCGATAGGGATCGGCTCTCGTGCCCGGCCACGGGCCGTCCTCTTGTTATAGCGTTGAGAAGTGATTGGGAATATCCTTCATTGTTGTGGCAGATGTGATTGTCCCGCGGAAACAGCGCTCCAATAGCGCTCGTGCAACTTTCCAGGGTCATATGGTGAAGGAGAGCTCCCGCCCATTCCGGGAAACGCGGGAGTGTCCGTGGCTTTCCGTGACCGTATAGCATGCCATTTGATCAAGATTCAAGTGCCTGTTGTATTCGCCCGAGCCATGGGAGTGCGGTGAATGCAGCCCGCCCCCGCGGTCCGGCCCGGATGTGCGCGATACGGACCAACTGCATCGGCCAGCGGCGGGGGCAGACGGCGACGGCTGGTGAACGGCTTTGCTGCGGCCTTCGGCAGTCGGCAAGACGCGGGCTGGGCGCTGGAGCGCCAGCGGCTGGATCCTTTCTCCTTTGGCCATACCTCCAGGGTCCATGCATCCTGCCACCGGTAGTCGACAGAATGCGGGATGGGCGCTGGAGCGGCTGGATCCTTTCACCTACCTACGAACAGCAGCACGCGCTTCACGCTCCAATTGTCATATTTCCCGAATATGATAGGTTATGAAGGACGTTAGATAGACTCAGACCGAGCAGTGGACCCACAGAGATGCAGGTGACGTTTTTGTACGTAATGTACGCCATTGAGGATTGCAAGTACCTAGCTTCTAGCTTGGCGTTGCGTGTATGTCGGTTGGTAGACGACGACTCCAGTTCGGACCTCACGTTACCTTCATCCGCAAGTATACCTAAATAAAAAAGTTTTTCAGCCACAGGCACGAAAACATAGGTACGCACGAATTAGGCTCCTCGCTTCGCGGCCTGCAAAGCATCATCCCTGCTGATCGCCAAAATAACGGTTGCCAATAACTTTCGAGGGTGCTACCGGTCCGTCTCCTCGCCTTGTCCTTCGGGAAACGTGAGGGAAAACGAATCCCCACGACTTGCGAGACAATGATTCAAAATCCCTATTGTGAGCCTACCACTCTGCAATCCAGAGGCGGATCCAGCTCAGAGTTTTTTTGGGGGCAAACCATAACAATTTATCGATTCTTTCCATGCCTCGTCCATAGGCGTGATGTTAAAATTATGCCGTTTGGTAGGGGCAAATGCCCATTTTGCCCCCCCCCCCCCCTCTGGATCTGCCACTGCTGCAATCTAAAAATATTATCAAGTGAGAACGCTTATGGCTATCTACGATCTGTACTTTATTACTCGAGAGTTGAGGTACAATATTTTCTAGACAGACTACTTTGGTGATAAAAACTACATAAAGGAGCATAAGGAACTCGTGAATGCTTGATTCCCAATCTTCTTAAAAATATGAATGCAGTGCCAATTTCACGGACGCCTTCAAGTGGACATAACTTTATTTAAATTCAATGACGTCATGATTATAAACCAATCAAAGTGAAAGATTTTTATTGCATCTTACATTTACCTAATTAAAGTACATGCCCTGAACGAAATTGAATATTGAAAAAAGATGCCCTGATATCAAGCCCGCTGCACATTTCTCATGAAAATGAAATATACGTCTTCCAAAAGTGCCCACTTTGAACTTTGAAGTTTTGTACCAGTGCGGTGCACTGCACTCATAGATACGACGCATCATTGGCTTCTGATCTAAGTCACCTTGATTGAAAAAGAAATTATTTAAATAAGAAGCACTGTAGTTAGAGCCAAGATTCTTACACAGGTTAGAACACAGTGCATGCTTTTTTACACGTAACGTAACAAATACTGGTTATAGATTTATTAAAAGCCTTTGACGTCAGATATATTCATTTATGTAAGCTTCAGCGCTGAATTATTCTGTCCTTGACATCCGGTATGTCTTTTTCGTCAACACAACACACGCGCGCGGGGGCGTTGTGCAGGAGGGTCCCGCTTGATCCATGTTATTTGCTGTGATTTTATTTTCTCTGAACGTAGCTTGACTTGAAATTAGGTGCTGAATAAACGATTCACCAGCTTGATAAGGTAAGTTCAACTCCAATTGTGATCGAGTTGGCATCGTTGTAATGTAATATGATGGCGCGTTTCAGTTTAAGGTTGACCTGAGCATTCAGCTTTGGCTTATTTTATGTGTTCTTTTTTTTGCACAGCTACAGAGTTTCATGTTTTGCTGGATGATAAGGACTAGAATTTTATAGGGTCTGTTCCAGTCGCACTTCCTAACCCCTCTAAACTCCTCCGAGATTGCTTCCCTGTTCCAGTGGCATCTCTAGCCCCTACAAAGCCAAGGAGGGCCCTGCTCCAACCTCCTCTATCTTGGTCTTGGAGGAGTTCAGAGGCGTTAGGAAGTGCGACCGGAACATCAACCCATAGTCATGGTTGTGACCTGATTGTTTATTTAACACGAATGTGCGTGTGCTGTAACATTTGTTGCAGACGTTCTTCAACTTGACTCAGTGGACTGTATAACTGTGTGTGTGTTGACGTCTCGCATCATTTGGTGTGGCGACCGGGGCCTGACAGGATATAGGTTGATATGGTAATGAGGCGAAATTGGGAATTTATAATATAAGAAGTGGATGCTATATGAATGGATATAATTTTGGATCAAGGTTTAAGAGCACTCTTGTCAGAGCGACAAAGGAACCCTCTTTACAGAGAGCATGTTAAGACCTAAAAGGGTATGCAGAGCCCTCTTTTCAGAGAGACAAAGGAACCCTCTTTACAGAGAGCATGTTAAGACCTAAAAGGGTATGCAGAGCCCTCTTTTCAGAGAGACAAAGGAACCCTCTTTACAGAGAGCATGTTAAGACCTAAATATAGAGCCCTCTTTACAGAGGGACAAAGGAACCCTCTTTACAGAGAGCAAGAGGTATTAGGAAAATAAGGAATCAGATAGGAATGATAAGTAGACCCGGTCACCGTGAAATAGAAGACTGTGCGAACTGACTGTGTGCCACTCTCCCGTGCTCTTATCCGCCGCTGCACTCCACTCTTCACCATTCACAAACACAAGATTCTTCCGAACTGGTGAGTATTGCAGATGGCGAATAGGCGATGACAACACAGTATCACTGACAAGAAGAGTTGGCCAGAGAGAGCGAGGCAGTGCTCTCTCGGCGCCGAAAAGTAAAGAAGTGAGAGCGATGGCTGCTCCCGCCCCGTTTATGTACTGGGTCGGGAGGACACAGATGGCGACGGAAGTAATGAAATAACAAAGAAGCTACACACTACCCGGCGTCCTGGTAACCCTACCACGCGGTCGGCACATGTCGGCATAACGGCTCCGGCCCGCCGGGGACACAGTTCCACGTGCGACGCCACGCCAGCCCACCCCCTCCCCCCGGGTCAGTCCCTCCGGTAACAGCGCATCCTTTCATACAACTGCAGCTGTAGAACACGGTCGCAGGGAGAGAGGAGCGTCCCGTCACCCGATCACTGCCATAAAGTCTCTCGCGGACGGCCCATCTGCCAGCGGCGTAGCAGGGGGATGGGGCGGCGGCGGCGCGGAGCGGCGCCGGCCGGGATCACGCATCGGCCCGGCCCGGCAGCTACGATCAGAGCCGAAATGAGACGCAACACCAACTACCTAGTGCAGTTTGTCGGCAACATCACTCCCCCCTGTGTTTAGATATGCATTCTAAACACACATACCAAGGAGCCGACAAACGTTCCGGCACATACACTAACCGTATCTCATCACACCGCCATCGCTGCTGTACGGCGACAGCGGTAGTAGTCCGCTCCTTGAAGACGTTTCGGCTGGTCGCCGCCCTTCACTACGCTGGCCAGGATGTTTGACTTCACCTCCTCCAGGTCGTCTGTCAGCGGCGGCCGTGGCGCTTGCGCCGGCCAGTTCTCTTCGTCGTCGCTCAGGAACGCTGGGCCGCTCAGCCACCGGCTCTGGGAAGTGATTTCGGAGGCAGCCAGTCCCCTCGAGCAGTAATCGACAGGGTTCATCTTTCCTGGGACGTGCCGCCTGGTGCCGCTTGAGGCTCTCTTTCCAGACGACACCTGGGGTTTCCTCCGCTGCAGCCGTCGGCGCACCCAGGCGGAGGCCAGATCACTGGTCGAAGTGCCTTCCAGAACTTCGTGCCGGCCGCTCCTCCGTTTAGTCAGCTTGAATCTCCCATCAGAGAGGGCTCGGATGGCTCCTTGCTTCAGTTGCTTGGCGGTATCCACATCCCCGTCATACAGCAAGAAGTCATCCATGTCGAAGCTTCGCTGGATCTGCTCGGGTTCTCTGGGAGGCGCTGTCCATCCTTCATTCCAGTGCTCTTGGGGCGTTTCTTTGAGGACATAGTTGGCGATGCCCGGTGACGATCGAGCCCCCAGCAAACCGGTTTTATATCGTCCTTGGCTTCTGATTGTGCTCTCTTCCAACGGTTTGACCACTCTTTCTCCCTCCTTTGACCTGGGTTTAGTCTGGCAGCGCTCAGTCCCGAAAGGCTCGGTAGACCGCCCTTCATTGAGAGTAGCAGACCGCTCGTCCTCCTGTTCCGTCAGCAGCAGCTTCGTGGACATGACTTGGCGCAAGCTACTGGGAACGATGGCCGAGACCGATCCTGTCAGTGTCCATCCGAGGTCGGTCTTCACTGCTACTGGTTGATTCGGGCGTCCGACGCGCGTCTCTCTTTGCAGGACTGCTTCTAGGACGTTCGCTCCGATAAGTAGTTCCACTTGCCCACCGTCGTACTGTGGAAACTCAAGTCCGTGAAGGTGTTCACATCCCTCGAGCTGGCTTCCTTTTACCACAGGGACTGTCACGTTGAGAGCTGGAACGGACCACACTTCAGGGATTTGGATGTCACTCTTCCTTCCATCAGGATCCAGTGTGCTTATGGTCAGTGAGACGCGCTGCGAGGGCTTCCGGACGCCACCTCCTTCCACATTCTGAATTCGGAGTTGGCGACAGTGTCCGGTGATCCCAAGGTCGCGCAGAACGTCTTCACGGCAGAGGGATGTTTGCGCCCCGGTATCGAGCAGCGCAAGAACCTCTTTCGAGCCTCTGGTGCCATGGACTTGGACCCGAACTACCTGAAGCAGGGTGTCCGTCTCCTCGTTCAGTGAAACCGCCACGAACGGCGCGCTGTTACTGCCTTCTTCCTTGCGAGGTTTGTCGGGTACCGCTTGTCCTTTGTTGCCATGAAGCAGGGGATGATGCTTGAGCTTGCAGTCCTCGATACCGCACCTTCTGGCCACCCTGCACCTTCGGCTCCAGTGCCCTTTGCCGAGACACGAGAAGCACAGTGTCTCAGCGCTCACGATATTCATTCTTGCTTCGGTAGTTTTGGCCTTGAACGTCGGGCAGTCTGGGAGCTTGTGCGTGTCCTCACACACCACACATGCCCGTCGGGATTCTGGATCTGCCGAAGAAGTGACGCCTGTCGCGAATGCCGACTTTCTTGCCGTCCCACCGTCCCTGGACTTGGCTGCTTCTGTCCTGTCGTTTGTCACAAACTGGCTGCCAGAGTGGCTAAGGACATCGACTTCTATCTTCAACCATGAGCTAAACGCCTCCAGGGTGGGTCGCACTGGTCGGAGTCTATGCACTTCTCGGCCCCACTCTCGACCAAGCTCGACTGGTAGCTTCTCCACCACTCTTCTCAAGTTTTCGCTGCTCGCTAGGTCGCTTGAGTAGCCCAGATTGCGGAGAACTGTCACCGTGTTGTGGACGACTGAGTAGAATTGTTCCATGGCTGGGAGATCCATGAGGGATGGCGGGGGGCAGGTGAAGACCTTCCGCAGGTGGGCCTGTATGATGTCTTCCTCTCTGCCGAAGCGTTCCTGCAAGGTCTTGAGAGCCTCCTGGTAGAGTTCCCCGTCGAAGAGCATGCCGTTGATTGCTTGAGCAGCTGGTCCTTCTACCGCGTTCTGAAGGTGTGCCATGCGCTCGGAGTCGGACAACGACGGCTGATTGTGCACCAAAGCTTTAAACAGCCCAATCCAGCGTGGCCACTCTTGAGCGCTTCCTCGGAACGTCGGCAGGGTCAGACGTGGGATGCTCTTCACAAACGCCGATTGTTGATGAAACAAAGGCTGTTGCTCAGAGCGCACCGCTGTCACCCAGTTAGCGGGATGCTGTTCGTTCTTGCTGCTCGGCAGCTCGGCGTTGTTTGCGGCTGTCTGCTGCTCAGGTTGCAGTGTTCGGCGCTGTTCTTGTGGCGGTGGTCTACGCTGAGGCAGGTCGACCGTTACTGAACCCTCCACCACATTGCACTCCCTGGGGACCAGAGCGACGTTCTCGCCATCGAAATCGTTCCGTCTCTCCCACTCAAGGTCGCTCTCAGCCGCCTTGCAGAGACGTGCCATCACAAGCGCTCGTTCAACCTCTTCCTCCATAGCCTTCTCCTCCAGCATGTCCTCTTGCTTCTTCAACATGTCTTCTTGCTCCCTCTTCTGCCGCTTCAGCATGTCCTCTTGCTCTCTCTTCTGCCTTTCTCGTTCCTTTCTTGCCCTGAGATGCTTCAGCTCGAGGGCCTTCATCTCTGCAGTTATTTCAGCCTCCCTTGCCACTGTGGAGGCCTTTGAGCATTTTGAAGCCCGGGACCCACAGACCTTACTTCCGTCTCGCCGTGAAGCGAGCGACATCGGCTTCCCCTCTGTCACGGACGCTGAGCAGCCTGGGGACTTCAACTTGATGGCCTCTTTGATAGCCTTGATTGCTGAGGCGTGCCGTGCCGTCAACCGCGTGACATACTCTTCCGCCTCCTCTATCTCTTCAACTTCCTGCACCTTCTCCACATAATCATCATTAATCTTCAGGACGCTGTCCAGCGCCGTGTTCAGGGACTCAAGCCGCTTCCTAAGTTCTTCTTCACTTGCACAGCGATCGATTTGTACCTCAGCCATGTTACAGGCACGGGTGAGTAGGGCGGCCTTGCGGCCACGCTGCAGCTTCAGGGTCTTCAGCTCACCGGTGGCTGTTCCTTCCTTCACTCCGCCATCGACCCTGTTCTGCGGCATCGCCTTCCCGTTGCTTTCCTCTGTTGAGTCTTGAGGCGTCAGGGCTCCCAACTCTCCAG